AAGTCACCGTGAAATTAAAAAGCATCCGCCACTTTCCAAGGCATCGTTGTGCCACTTGAGCCATCATCAGCCCCATGCCAGGACCCGTCCCCGCACTGGGAGGCATGTTTGGGTCCCCAGGGAGCCTGCTCTACCCAAGCCTCCCAGGAGATCTGGGTAGGGATGGATCGACGGGCTTCTCTGCTTAGAAAATAAGGGGGTGCTGATAAAGCTGGGAAGCTCTGAATGCGTGAGTCCTGTGCTTGCTCGCGGCCGTCCGTCGCAGCTTTATACCTGAGAGCACAGCGGAGGTAACGCCGACCGCGACGTGCGTTTCGGCGAGGGGTTAGATGGGGAATACGGGGCACCCCGCACGCGGTGTGAGCGCCGTTCATGTTGTGGCACGAGAGAATGTAGCGGTGGGGTGCGCCCCAAAATTTAACCATGATAAACGAATGAAAAGCACGCACCCATTTCAGACACCTCACCCTGCACCTTTACGGAGGGGGCCGTTTCCCTCGGAGGGCATTACCTGGGTCAGGGTGGCATCGAACAGTTTGCAGGCCTCGTTGCTTGGGGTGGAGAGTGGGAGGCCAGCATCCTTCCACGCCTGCGCACGGCAAGAGGGAACATCAGGGCCTTATCCAGCGCAGCCCTCCAAGCACACACGCACACACGGGCCCAGCCTCGGGGCACGGAAGGTCTCCGACCCCAGCGTGTGCAGGCGTGGGTTTCTGTACGGCCCAGCCTGGGCGTGGGGCGGGCACACACTCCGGATTTCACAGATGCTGCAGAGCTGGGAGCTGCGCCCTGGGCGGGGGGGGTGGGGGGCGGAGCAGACCCCCAGGCATACTCTCGCGACCTCTTAATAGTTGTGTGACCTTGGGCAAGGACCTCCCTCAGACCCTTGGCCTGCCCCTCTGTGAATGGGGCTCAAGAATGCATGGGGGGGGGGGGAGGGGGCGCTGTGAAGTGTCCCAGCGCGGAGCAGACGCTCAGAAAAACTCCCTGAGCGGTCGGTCTGCGGGACGGACGGGGGTCTGGCGCTGGCGTGCTCGGCGGAGGGGGCGGCTCTCCACCTGGACCGCCAGGTGCACACGGACCGCTAATCCTGGAAACAGTGCGTCTCAGCGCTCCGCCCGACCCTCAGGTCTGTCAGTGGGAACTTCCCGAGAGCGTCGGAACTGCGCACTGTGACTGCCACCCTCGGCGTCCTGCCAGGGACGATGTCCTGCCCGGGACACAGACCGGTGACGCCCCGGGTGAGGATGTGTCCGCTCCTGCCGGTGAGCGCCGGCCCACCGAGGCTCCCTCCGAACGCCACCTTCGGGCTGCAGAATGGGCCGGGCTCTCTGCCCCGGCGGTCCCGAAGGAGCCCCGCACTGCCGCCCCTCGTCCCTGCAGCGCCACGCCGTCGTTAAGGGGTTAATACTTGTGCGGGGAGGCCCCCGGGTCCCGCTGCTTCCCTCGGTGGGGGACCCCGCAGCGGGGCGCCCGCGCCCGCCGCCCCGCCCCGCCGTACCTGGCAGTCGCGCAGCGCTGCGGGGTCCACCATGGTGCGCCCCGGTGCGGTCCCGTCAGTCTCCGCGCCCTTCCTGGTGGGGCGGGGTGGGGCGCGCAGGGGCGGGGCGGGGTCCCCGCCGGCTCACTGGTCGGTTTGGGACGCACGCACCGCCGGCCTCCCCGGGCGGTCCCGGAGGCCGAGGGGGACAACGACGGACAGCGCCGCAGGGCCGCCCACAGAGGGCACCGACGCGGGGAGGGGCGGGGTTCGGGGGCGGCCGCGGGAACCGGCGGAGTCTTGCCCCCAAACTCCTCGCTGCCACCAGGGGGCTCCTCCCTGCTGAGGACGCCCTTGGGGAAGCGACTGCAAAGTCCCCCGGGAGGGAGGGGAGCCTTGGGACGGCGGTCACTCAAGCTCTTTCTAATTCCACCAGGAAGCCAAGCGCAAGCGCACACGCACACATTCGTAGAGGCCAGTTTTGGCCAGCATCCCGGAGGACTCTGTTACCCACCAGTGCCCGTCCCGTCCCGGCTCGCCGCTTTCCTGGGTGTGTGCTGAGAGAGAGAGAGAGAGAGAGAGAGCGCGAGCCGTGCCTTCCACTTCCTGCAAGGCCGTTCATCCCATTCCGGGGGCTCCATCCTCACGACCTCATCTAACCCCAGCGCCGTCCCATAGGTCCCTCCCCTAACCCCTCACATCACAGGGATTGGGGCTGTCCCACTTGACTTCGGGGAGGGGGCACAAACACTCAGTCGACAAGCCCCCCAGTGCCAGACTTAGAGCAGGCGTCCCACAGGACACAGGACACCTGCTCTGAGGTCGGACTGTGTGTGCCCCTCAGAGCAGCAGCCTTCCGAGGACCCGCCTCACACAGACCCCTGCTGGGCAGCTCCCGCTGGGATCTACCAGGCACGGCCCGTGGCACCAGGGGTGACCCCTGTTCACTCCTTTGCCTCACGCCCGGCGCCTGGGTCGGCTCCCTGGGCATGCGCCCTGGGCAGTGGCAGAGGTCCCCTGGGCTGCGGTAAAGCTCTGCTGTTGCTGTCTTGAAAGTACTAACATATTTTGAACAAGGCCCCCTGCCATGAACAGCGGAAACATTTCCATTTTTCCCGGGGCCCTGAAAATCATGTAGCCAGTCCTGCTACAATACGTCTGAGCCAGGAACAAATGCCGCCTTCCCTGACTCCCCCCCCCCCCGGGCCCCCTCACATGCCCCAACCGAGCCCAGATCGGCCCCCTCACCCAGGCTGTCCCTCCAGCAGCTGGGCCTGTCCCTCTGGTGTCCCCGGACGCCTCCAAACTGGTCTCCGTCCTGTCGTTCCCACCCAGCCACCCCCTGTCTCCCACACAGCAGAACGATGCTTCTGAAATGGAAGTCACATCGGCCCTGCTTGAGATGGAATTCAAATGTGTGGTCATGGCCCTGACCTCGGCGCACAGACCCTGCGCCCTCTGGCTCTGACGATCCACGCCTCTCTGCCAACACCTCCCCCCACCCCCACTCGCCACTCCCCTCCCCGCCAAGCCCTGCTACTGACCTTCTCTCTCCGGCTGGCCTCCGAGCCTCCCTCCGCACCTCCAGTTCCCTCTGCTAGGAATGCTACCTTGCTTCACGTCGAGAGGCTGGCTCCCCCGGCACCTCCTCCGAGGGGCCTTCCCTGACTGCTCATCACGTCCTCAATCCGTCTCCCTTCAGCTGCTTTATTTTTCTTCGTGCCACTTGTCACAGCCGGAACCGCACGTTCCGGGGTTATTTTTGTTGTCTCTCACCCCGCCCCCTTGCGGTGGAAGCCCCAGGAGAACTGGGACCAGGGGTGACGCCTAGAAACATGCCTGGGACGTAGGAGATAGTCAAGAAGCAGGTGCGGAAAAACGGGTGCTGGATGAATGGAAGAAACGCATCGGAGGAGCGGAGAAAACAAATAGTAAAGTGGTAGACCTAAAGCTAACCATTTTACTAATTATATTAAATGTTGATGGTTTAAATATTTCAATTAAAAGTCAGAGATAAACTGAGTGGATTGAAAAAAAAAACCCTGTTACCCTGGTTGGCGTAGCTCAGTGGATTGAGCGCGGGCTGCGAACCAAAGTGTCGCAGGTTCGATTCCCAGTCAGAGTACATGCCTGGGTTGCAGGCCACGGCCCCCAGCAACCGCACATTGATGTTTCTCTCTCTCTCTCTTTCTCCCTCCCTTCCCTCTCTAAAAATAAATAAATAAGATCTTAAAAAAAGAAAAGTGAAAATCTTAAAAAAAAGAAAAGAAAAAACCCCTCTTAAATATTGCCTTAAAAAAAACCAGTTCGAGTATGAAGACATAAATAAATTGCAAGTAAAATAAAGGAAAAAAAGGTCAAACAAACAGCATAAGAGGGCTAGGGTGGCTATTTTATTTTATTTCATTTCATTCCCGTCCCCAGTTTTACTCAGACATAAGTGACATATAGAGTGACCACTTTAATATCAGGTAAAATCATCTTTAAGACCAAGATGATCCCCAGATAGAGACATTTCATCGTGATTAAAGGGGCAATTCACCTGGAAGGCATAACCACAGATGTATGTGCCCCCGATATATAGAGCCGCAAAATACATGAAGCCAAAATGAACAGAATTTAAAAAATGAAATAGACAATTCCCCAGCCGTGATAGCAAAGTCCGACGACCTCTCTCAGCACTTGAGAGAACCTCCAGACAAAAATCGAAACCGACCCGGATCTCGGCCGCACCGCACGCACCTGATCCGGTCGGCAGACGCGGAGCGCCCCCGCCCCGCAGCGGCAGAATACCGTTCTTCCGTGCGCAGGCAACGCCCACCGAGAGCGACCACACTGGGGGCTTGCAAACAAGTCCCCGAAAGTACAGGGATGGAACCCATGCAGGATAGGTTCTCCGACCACCGCAGAGTCTAGTTAGAAATCAAAAACCGTACGAGTTTCAGGGCAACTCCCAACGTCCGGAAATCAACACACTTCTAATTCATGGACCCGAGCCCGAGCCCGAACCCGAACCCAAGGGGAAATCAGAAACACTTTTCACTGAACGACGAAATACAGCACACACGCGGGGCGCGGCTCGCAGTGGTGGCAGGGAACGGCCCGCAGCCGGTGCCTCTGTTAGGAAAGGGCAGCGCCTGCAACGCCAGCGGCGCGGGGGTTCCCGTGGGGCCAGGAGGAACAGGAAAGCCGAAGCAGAAACCCGAAGGCAGACCGCCAGGGGCGCTCGGGAGCTCGCAGTCCCTTCTGACTCCTCGGCCGGCCGGCCGCGGGAGTCCCGTGAAGGGGTCTTTTCCGTGGAGCAGGAAACCGGGTGCACTCATCCCACAGGCACGCCTTGATCAGGGTGGGAACGGGCTGCGGCGCAGGGAGCCTGGGCTCCGCTCGCTGCTCCAGGAACCCAGCATCCCCCACCCACCCCGCGACCCCGCTGTCCCGTGACCACCGCGGCCCGCGCCTCTGAGCCGTTGACCCACCCCACAACCTCTGCGCGCCTCTCGGCTCCCCGCTAGCGGGCGCTATGTGGCCCCGGCTTCTCCTGCTCCTGGGCCTGGACCTGGGCCTCCGCAGCCTCTCTCTGCCCCTGGCTCCTCGCAGTGCCGGGGCCATCGTCTCCGCCCCTGTCTCTCCGGCAGGCGCCGGGGCCCACCGCTCTCCACCTGAGGCCCGACCCCGAGACCCGCCTAGGGGGAAGGCGGTCGCGCTGCGCTCAGCCGGGGGTGCCCGGGGTCTCAGTTGGCTAAGCGGCCGCACTCGCCTCAGCCTGCGACGACGTGTGGCTCTGGGCCGTGGCGTCATCCTGGGCGGTGGTCCGGGCATCTGCTTCTCCCACAGGTCCTCGCGGTGGGCACAGCGGCCCTGCTTCCACGTGCACGTCCTGCTGCGCGCACCTCGTGCACGCCGCGCCACGCCCACCCATGCAGACCTGCACGTGTCTGCGCCCCGAGGTCGGCTGTCCCTACAGCGGCTTGTCCGGCTGCAGCGCTCACTTGGGCCTCCGGAATGGACCTTTCACCCCGGGGCGGTCAGCCCCACCGACGACTCGTCCGCCTCTGGCTTGTCCCCCAGATCCACTCCACCTGGTGGCCGTCTCCCCTCCCCGGGCTTCGTGGCCCAAACGGAGTGTCCTACAGATGGGCTCAGGCCTGTTGTTTCAGAAGGTGTCACCTCGGACAATCCCCAAGCGGTGGAGTCTTCCGTGTCCTGTCTGGTAGCCAGACAGGATCTTTGCGTTATCAGAAAGGTCGAGATCGACAGGAGTTCATCCAATTTTACCCTGGTGTTCACCAAGAAGATGAGAATTTTCGTCGTCGCCAACATCGTTTATGACTGCCCGTCAGCTCAGTTCAAGGAGGTGGATTGGAAGGTGTTCTCCGTGCCGTTGATGTGGGGTCAGCCGAACTGGTCCGACCCTCTGCCGGTGCTGAAGTTCGTGTCCAGGCAAGGGCTGGCCGTGGAAATCCCGAAGAACACACTTCCCCCGGGGGTGTACGTGCTCCGGGTCTATCTGAAGCTGGTGGGGCCCACCGGAGAGGTGCTCGAGGACTCAGACTTCGTCTACTTGGTCATGGCGAGAAGCCCCCTGCAGGCGGTTCTCCTCGGGGACACCAACATCAGGATCCAGTTCACGGAGGAGCTGGTTCTGGACGGGTCGGTGTCGGTGGATCCGGACGCGGACGATCCGCTGCAGGATGTCCAGTTCTCTTGGTACTGCACCACGAACCCGACAGACTACCAGGGAGTGCAGATAGACATGCGGAGCCGGGCGGTGTGTCTGCCGGAGCTGGGCAGCCTGAGGTGGGAGGGGGCCTCCGGTACGGTGCTGAGGCTGCCGCCGCGGACGCTCAAAGGCAGCCGCGTGTACTTCTTCAGAATGGTGATACACAAGAGAGGCTCGTCGGCCTTTTCCAACAAACGGGTGCAGGTGCTCCCAGGGCCGACACCCGTGGCCAAAATCGTGTGCACGGAAAACTGCAGTCCCGTCTTGGTGATATCAGACAGGTTCTCGTTGTTTGTCAAGTGCACCAACTGTATGGGAGGCCGTGACCTCTACAGCTGGTCCATTCTGTCCCTGTCGGGGGGTGAGGTGGTGTTCGACTGGGCGGGACAAACTTCCACAGGCAGGAATAGCGATTATTTGTCCGTGAAAGCTTTCGCTTTCAGAGACTTTGCGGAAGCCAAGTTTTCGCTTTCTGTGCTACTGGAGGCATGGAGCGGCATCAGCGTGATGTTCAAGTACCCCTTCGTCATCAACCACGCGCCTAAAACCGGGGATTGCAAGGTGAACCCCGCCAGCGGGATTGCATTTTACACCGAGTTCGTCATCCAGTGCAGTGATTTTAGGGACCAGAACACCCCGTTCACATACAAAATGATCGTGTCCGATCTGCACGGTTTTGGTGAGATCAGCTCTTTGAAGGAGAACACCCTGGGGCCCATCCTGTACCTGGGCCCCGCGCCCACGTCACCCCGGTCCTTCCTGCCCGTCGGCGAGCAGCTCAGCCATCACGCCGTGAAGATCCTCGTCCAGGTGTACGACTCCCTGGGAGCGTTCTCTCAGGTGACCGTGTACGCCACCGTCCAAGCTCCCACCGACGCGTACGCGCCACAGACGGTGATGCAGCGCCTGCTCAATTACACCACGGGGCCGGGCTCCGTCCTGTTCACTTTGCTGCGGGGGCAGGGCTTCCTGCCCGCGGGCTACCTGATGTACATAGCCGCCTCCGTGTTGAACAGCATGAGAACGGAGGCCTCCCTGCGCGCAGACAAAGAGGGGCTCCGGGAGCACCTGCTCAATGTGTCCTTCACTCTCCCCGTGGGCACGCTGGTGGAGGTCGGCCAGCTCATCACGGCCGTCGCGAGGCTGACCCAGAAGACGTCGGAATGCACCAGCGTCACGAAGAAAAATGCCACGGCGAGGATCTGGCAAGCCACCCAAGCCCTGCGAGAGCACCAGCGGAACAACAAGAACTTCCACGCCGAACAGATAGAAACCGTGAGCACCGGGATACTCACCAGCTTGTCCCACGTCCTGAAAATGACCACTCGCTACGAAGTGTTCACTGACCCTTTCTACGTGATGCAGTCTCTGGCAGACACGGTCCTGGTCGGCATGGTGCCGGGCAATGACACCGTCTCGATGAAGACCTCGAACTTCAACGTGTACATCAGGAAAACGGAAAAGTGGCTGGCCACCTACGTCTTGGGAGACGAAGAGCACGGCCGGAACTGGCTCCGCGCCACGCTCAATGAGAGCAGCGCCCCCGGTCTGTCCACAAACGCGCCCATTTCTGCGACGTTTTGTGAGTTTGCAGACCACCCCTTTCCCTGGATGGACGACCAGGACAGCCTTTCCGCAGACGTGGTTGGCTTCAGGATGACAGGCGGCACGGCGGCCGGAGACGTGCTGGAGCTCACGCCGGAGGTGGTGGACGTGTACCTAGGCAGAAGGAACTTGAGCTCTGCGGCCTTCAACCTCACGGTGGGCCCCGACGACGAGCCGGGCGCGGGGGACGAGGCCTCGAGGAAAACGACGGGGGCGTTCCGTTTCACCCTGGACAGCGGAGACACGAAGGAGCTGCTGGTACACATCGTGACAGAAGTCACCGTGCTGTTCACCGTGTCCGTGTACGCCGGCAACCGGGTCTCCCCTGAGGCTCTGGTCGCCACCTTCCTGGTGCCCCACGACATCCCTCCGGTGGCCAACCACAGCGGCCTGTTCGACCCGACCTGCGCGGTGAAGATGGCCCGCGTGGTCTGCCTGCCGCCGTCCCTGCTGCAGGCCGCCGCTCAGCGGGGCCGCTCCCCCGAGGGCTCCGTCGTCGTGGCTGTGCAGGCGGCCCACTTTGTCACGGAGCCCACCGACAAGCTGGTGAGAGTCTCGCTTTTCAGCGCCTACTGCCTGGACATGCTCGGGATACAGAGCGACTGGCGAGAGGACGCCTGTGTCCTCGGGGAGAAGACCGTCTGGGACAGGGTGCACTGCATCTGCAGGGCCGCGAGGAGGGCCCGGCGGCAGCTGGACGCCGGAAACCTGGCCAACGTCCGCCTGCACTTCCGCTACTTCACGGCCAAGGTGCTCGTGGTCCCCAACCCCGTGGACCTGCGGTTGGAGGTCATCAAGAGCATCAGCAGAAACCCCGTGGCCCTGTTCACGGTCCTCTTCATCGTGTGCGTGTACGTGGCCCTGGCCTTCTGGGCGCTGCACAGGGACGAGATCGACAAGTTCCTCCGGGACCACGTGATAGTCCTGCCTGATAACGACCCCTATGACGACGTCTGCTACCTCGTCACCATTTTCACCGGAAGCCGCTGCGGGGCGGGGACCAGGGCCGACGTCTTCGTCCAGCTCAGGGGAACAGTGGGCGCCAGCGACGTGCACTGTTTGAGCCACCCCCACTTTAAAGCCCTCTACCGCGGGAGCATCAACACCTTCCTGCTGACGACGAGGAGCGACCTGGGCGACATCCGGAACATCCGCGTGTGGCACAACAATGAGGGCAGAGCCCCCAGCTGGTACCTGAGCCGAATCAAGGTGGAGAATCTGTTCAGCAGACACATCTGGCTGTTCATGTGTCGGGCGTGGCTTTCTATCGACACCTCTGTGGACAGGACGTTTGAGGTCGCCGATCCCAACGTGCCCCTGAAGAGGGTGGACTTCTGCCTCATAGACATGACCAAGGAGGCGGAGAAAGCGCACATGTGGTTCTCCGTCTTCACCGGCATCGTCAGCAAGGGCTTCAGCCGGCTCGAGAGGCTGTCCTGCTGCCTGGCCATGCTGCTGGCCTCGCTGCTGTGCAACATCATGTTCTTCAACCTCAACGAGGAGGAGGAGGAGGGGGCGGGGCCCCAGGGCGGCCACTACCTGCGGTCCATGGTCATCGGGCTGGAGAGCGCCGTGATCACGCTCCCGGTGCAGGTGGCCATCACCGGCCTGTTCACCTGTTCCCATAGGCAGCCCCAGGTGAGCCTGGAGGAGGTGTCTCCTCGGAAGCCTCCCGTGACGGCGGCAGGGGCCGGGCACTGGGAGGACCGTCTGAAAAAGTGGCACGCGCGGGAGACCGAGGAGCAGCCGCCCTCCCCTGGGAGCAGTCGCGGCCTCGGGAAGTCTTCGGGCGAGGCGACCTCGAAAGTGAGGCGCCCGTGGAAGAAGGCGGAAGGCAAGGCCTCACTCCAGCCCAGGACGAACGCCAACAACAGCAACAAGAACGTCAACGACAACAACAAGAATGTCAACGACAACAACAAGAACGTCAACAACAGCAACAAGAACGTCAACGACGGTCCGGGGGTACCCGCGGAACAGCCGCCTTCCCCAGAGGACTCCCCGCCCCCCGCCACCAAGCCCAGGGTGGAGCTGCCCGGATGGTGCGTTTTCGTGGCCTGGTGCCTGGTCTTCGCCACGTCGGGCGTGTCCTCCTTCTTCATCGTGCTGTACGGGCTGACTTACGGCTACGAGCGGTCCATAGAGTGGCTCTTCGCGTCGTTTTGCTCGTTCTGCCAGTCCATTTTCCTGGTGCAGCCGCTCAAAATCATCTTCCTGTCGGGCCTCCGGTCGAACAGGCCCAAGTACTGTAAAAACCTCTCGTGGGTCAGCAACTACCGCTACACAGAGATCCAGCTGCAGGACCCCCGGCGGGACCCGGCCAAAATGCGGGAGCGACACCAGCGCGTCGTCGAACTCCGGGGCACGAGGATGTACCAGCCCCTCACGGAGGACGAGATCGGGATATTCAAAAGAAAGAAGAGAGCCAAGAGGGGCGCGTGGCTGCTGCTGGCTAGCACTCTGACCCACTTCATCCTCCTCGCCCTCCTGCTGGGCCTCGCTGCCCTCCTCCGCCGCGCCGACAGCTTCTACTACAACCGGTTCATCCGCCGCCAGTTCTCCGAGGGCCTCGCGACCGTGACCAAGCTGGATGACGTCTATCTGTGGCTCAGCAGCGTGACGTTGCCCTTGTTCCACAATGACGGGAACCCGACGTTTCTTCCTGACAGCTCCTCTCAGATCCTTGGCCTCCCACTGATGAGGCAAGTGAGGGCCAAGCCGGCGGAAAAGGCCTGCCTGCCCGCCCACAGCCCGGTGCCAGACAGCCTCAAAAGGGAAATTCACTGTCACCCCGCATACGGCACCCACCCAGAAGACACGGCAAACTACACTCAGTTTTGGAAGAAGGTCAACAAGCGGACGACCGACAAGAACACCCAAGGGTTTACCTATAAGCCTCCAGAAAGGAGGTGGGTGTATTACTCCTACGGACTTCTTCATACCTACGGGTCCGGGGGGTACGCGTTCTATTTCTTCCCAGACCAGCAGCAGTTTAATTCCACCCTGAGGCTCAAGGACCTGCAGAGCAGCCACTGGCTGGATGAGAAGACGTGGGCTGTGATTCTGGACCTGACCACCTTTAACCCGGACGTCAGCCTGGTCTGCAGCGTCTCGGTCGTGTTCGAGGTCTCTCCGTACGGCGTCGTGAACGCCAGCGTGTCTGTGTACTCCTTCTCCCCGGGCAGCTTCGGCGGGAAGCCGTCGGCAGAACTCGCCCTGTACGCGGCCATCCTCGTGTGCTTCCTGGCCCACGTGGCGCACGTGGTGTACACCGTCTGGCAGGAGAGGGCCTCCTGCGTGACGCGCGCGGGCAACTGGCTCAGCCTCGCCCTGAGCTGCGCCTTCGCCGCGCTGATCGTGCTGCTTCTCAGCAAGCACTTCCTGGCCGCCGGCGTCCTTCGGTCCTACTCGTCGAACTCCAGGGACTTCGTGCCCTTCCACGCCGTTTCTCAAGCGGACCACGCCATGCGGATCGCGTTGGGCTTCCTGCTGTTTCTGGCCATTTTGAAGACGCTCAGGTACTGCAGGTTCTTTTACAGTGTGCGCCTGGCTCAGAGGGCCATGCACACCGCCCTGCCCGCCATCTTCCACGTGGCGCTCATGCTGTCCCTGTGTTTCTTTGTGTACGTGGCTCTCGGGTGCCTGGTGTTTGGGCAGCACGAATGGAACTACAGTCGCCTGCTCCACGCCACCCAGACGGTGCTCTCCTACTGCGTTTCAGCTTTTCAGAACATAGACTTTTCCCAGAACAGGGTCCTCGGGGCCCTGTTCCTCTCCTCGTTTATACTGCTGGTGATCTGCCTGCTGATCAACCTGTTTCGGGCCACGGTCCTGTCTGCCCACGAGGAGATGGCACAGCCCGTGTACGAGGCCCCATCGGACGAAGCGGAAGCAGTGGCCTACTTGTGCGGCAAACTCAGGAGGCTGCTCGGCTTCCTGTCCCTCCGACCCAAGGCCCCAGACAAGCCCACGTGCTTCATGGACATGCTCTATGGGCGGCCGGAGAGGCAGAACCGGCGCTTCCTGGGGCTGAAGACCAGAAACATGAACGAGAGGAAGGTGGTGTATCTCGTGATGTGACGGTGGCGGTGTCGAGAGCTGCGGGCGAGGGTCTCCCCGCAAACATTCCGTTTAGTGGCCCCAGACCAGTGTCCTGCTCACACACACCCTACATTTGCAAGTATCCCCACTCTTGGCCCCCACTCTTGGGAACAGGAAGAGAGAGAGCGACCGGCAGTGCCCCGGGGAGAGGAGCTGAGCTCTCTTTCCGGGGAGTGAAGCGTCTTCGGAGCCTGCAGCAGTTCAGAGGGTTGGAGACACGCTGGGAGCTCTTTTCAGAGGCCGGAGCTTCCCTGACCCACGTTCCCTCCACCAGCCTCCCCCCGCCCCGGTCCACCACATCCCAACTGGTCCAGGGCCTGAGGGGCCCCGGCGGTTCCAGGACTTGCCCTGGATTTGGAATTAATTCAGGGAGGAGATCAGAGGTCAGAAGTCTGAAGCTTTCCATCTACTCCCTAAGGCTCCTTCAAGTTAAAGACGTGCACCATCCCGTTAGCTCTCTGGCCGTGACACTAAGTTTCTGTCAGACAACAAGGTGCTGCGTGTGGGTTCACTTTCAAAGACAGTGACTGTCCTGTAGGTCGGGCCCAGCAACATCTACACCCCGGGTTTGGGCTTTTGGTTGGTTGCGTCCCAGTGGGTTGTTACTGAACAATAAAGAAAATGTTGTTTGTTGTTTAAGAGCAACACGGGCTGGCAGCTGTTTCATTCTCCCTCAGGAGCCTGCTCCTGTGTGCGGATGCGGCGTCAGAATTAAATGTGAGATTTCTGAGTGACGCACGGAGGCTTCTGCACGGGGGGGTGGGGGGGGGGGCGCATCTACACGGGGCTTCTTCTTCTGCCCTGGAAGTCAGGGCCGGAAACACAGGACCGCAAAGTCAGCCTGGCGACTGGCCGCCTGGTCCCAGGCCTTGGTTACTCGCCGAGTGGCAGTGTAATCTGAGGAGGCACATGCTTTTGGTGTTGCACATTCTGTGGGTTCAGACAAACACACAGTTGCATGCCTCTGCCATTCTAGTATCAAAGGGTTTTCACTGCCCTGAAAATCCTCTGTGCTTTGAATCCATCCACAGAATATCACCGCCGTAAACACAGTTGGGGTCATATTTTTCTAGTAACCAAAGCAAAGTGCTTGCTCTGGGGCCCAGGGCAGGGCGGCGCTTGCACTGGCCCAAGAGCAGTTCATTCCCAGCATTACTAGCAGGCTCGGTATAATCCTTATTTCCCACTTCCCCGGAGGAAAAAGCAGGGAGGGCGCCGCACAGTGGAGGCCACCGCAAGTGTAGGGGAGAGCCTGCCTGGGGCTCGGGTAGGGGAGTCTGGGAGCCAGGAGAACCTTTGGAAGCTGGTGGGGCCCCCGGGCAAGCAAGGCCAGGGAGGTTGAAGGATGGTGGGGCCCAGGTCGAGAGGGGCGTGTTGCAGGGCGCTTTAGGGTTTGGAGGAGCAGGGTGATATGTCGCAAGTGCACACAGCTTTACAAAGGTCCCGGGAAAGGGCAGGGCTCGTGCAGAACCCCGCTTCTCTGCTGCATTAAGGGGCATCACGGGCCCTGCCTGTGACCCCGGGGGCTCCCGTCCTAACGGGGGACAGGTAGTGCGCGCACTAGGAGGACATTCCAACCCAAGGCACGTGACAAGAGGCGCGCGAAAAGCGAGACCAAGTGGGGCTCCGCTGAGCCCGGGGGAAAACACAGAAAGAAGCTGAGAATCTTAGCACAGCCCGAACTGCAGGCCAAGTAGGAGCGCTCTCGGGCCAAAGCAGGGTCAGGCACCGCCCAGGGGCTGCACCCCCAAGAAGCAATGCACCAGGGAGGAGCCGAGGAGGCGGAAGCCAAACTCGAGCTACGTCTCGCAACGCGCATGCGCCCGGGGTGATAGGGAGGGGTGCGCACGCGCGGCCGGCCGTCAGGGGGCGGGGCCGCGCACGCGTGGTGAGTCCCGGCGGCGTGGGACGCCGGTGCGCGCGGGCGGAGGTGAGAGGGGCGGCCTGGCGGTGTGACGGGAGTGCGCGCGCTCGGCCGGCCCCGGTCCCGCCCAGCGCCTGCTGCTCGCCGGCGGCCGCGAGGCCTCGGTAGAGGTCCTTGGGATTCCGAGGACCCGGGTCGGACCCGCTGCGCTCGGCCCCGGGGGACGGAGGACTCGGGGAAAGGCCCCCCGAGATGACAGCGGGCTTGTGAGCTCCCGGGGCCGAGCCTGGACGTGCGGGGTCCCGCAGACCTCGGGAGGGGCGTTGCTGGAAACTTGGAGGAGGAGTGAGGTGCAAAGGTTAGGGATAAGCAGCAGCAAGGCGAAGAATGCCTTCCGAGAGCATGCGGAAGGACGGTGCGCCCGGATCGCCACCGGCCAAGGGGGAAAAAAGCCAGACACCTTGTCCATAGGTCGGTCCATAGCGATAACGCACGCTGAAACACGGTGAAAAAACCCAGGGCCGAGGGCGTGGGAACTGGGGGACGGGGCGGGCAGCCTGACCTGTCTGCGCTTGGGAACCCAGGCGAAGAGCGAGGAAGGTTGGGGCGACTGTGGTTAAGAAATTTCCAAAAATAATAAAAGGCACCCAAACAGGAGTCAAAGACTGCTCCCAGGAGTACCAGCAGGGCAAAACCCTGTGCAGGAAAAGTTAGTACAGGGTCCAGCACAAATAACGTCCCTTTTTAAGTGACAAAATCATCAGCATGTCATTCTGCAACATAACAATGTCACACTCAAGCACACCGCGTGACATGGTGGTCAAATGTTCCAATTAAAACTATTAAGTTATTACACCCACGTTTTTACCCTACAAAGCACACTCAAGCAGGCCTTCTGCCGGACCCTGTACGTATGTACACACACACACGTGTAGAATTATATGTGTGCATGTATGTATGTTGTGTGTTATATGTTACCTATTCCATTGTATAATGTATACCATTCTGCACGTGTGTATATATATGGGTAGTTGTTTTTTTCAAACCGCTGAAAGTCAAAGATGAAGATGTTGCAGGCAGCCCTGGGGAAGCCCCGCAGCCAGAGGCGGGGAAGCCGTCTGGGTGGAGGAAGCGGGAGAGCAGAGGCCAGGAGGGGAGTAAACAGGGGGATCTGAGCCCGGTGTGTGGGGGTGGGGGCGGGCAGTAATAGCGAGGAAGGGAGTTTATCCTGCCCTCAGTTCGGGAGTGCCTGGGGTTCAAAGCACCGCTCAGAGCCTTGATTTTGAAGAATGCTGTCGAATTTTGTCCTGCTTTTATGCATCTATTGAAGTGATAATGTGGGGTTCTTCCTTTTTTCTGTCACTATCATAAGTTGCATTCGTTGGCTTCTGAATGTTACACAAACCTTGCATTCCTGAGTTGAATCCACTCAGGCATGATGCCTTAGGCTTCTTACGTGTTGTTGAATTCAGTTTGCTAGTATTTTGCTAGGGATTCTTGGGTATCTGGGTTCAGGAGGGGTATCGGTCCGTAGCTTTCCTGTGATGGCATTGGGTAACGGTGTCAGGGCCGTCCTGGCAGTTTCTGTGTCAGTGTGATACTGTCCTCACAGTCACCACCAGCTGTCGCCTGCCTTCTCTACGTTCCGAAACAGTGTCTGTGTGTGGGTTCTATTGGGCTGGCCAAAAAGTTCATTTTGTTTTTCTTCTGTAAGATGTCTCTAGTAGTACTTAGTTGTCTTTAACTTCATTCAGAACAATTTTGTTAGATTGTATTGTGAAAAAAAAACCCTCATCAAAATTGGTGAATTTTTGTGTAGCCATTTTGATACGGAAGAAGGAAGAAAATATGCAGCATTTTGGGCATGTTATGCTTTATTACTTCAAGAAAGGTAAACATGCAACTGAAGCACAGGAAAAGGTTTGTGCAGTGTATGGAGAAGGTGCTGTCATGGGTCGAATGTGTCAGAAGTGGTTTGTGAAGTTTCCTGCTGGAGATTTCTCGCTGGACGGTGCTCACCGTGGCGCAGACCAGGTGAAGCGGATAGCGACCCAGTTGAGACATTACTTGAGAATAATCAGTGTTGTACCACGAAGGGGAGATAGCTGACATACTCAAAACATCCAAATCAGTGAAGTTATTGGTGACAATGAAAAATATGTCCTTGATTTTACGGAAAAAACTAAATGGACTTTTTTGGTCAACTCAATATTTCTCCCTTAAATGCTTAACAATTTGTGGTTAAGCCACCTAGGCCTGATTTTTTTTCTATTTTTTTTTTATTTCATGTTTTAGGGACACTTTAAATTATGAAACCGGTTTTCTGAATAGCTACAGGGCTATTCAGGTTTTCTGTTTCTTTTTGGGTCACTTTTGATGATTGGCGGGGTGTTACCCCCGCGAGAAATCTGTTCATTTCAGCTAAACTGTCAGATTTATTTGGTAGAAAGTTGTTCCACATGTGCCCTCACTTTCATTTCATTGTCTGACGTCTAAGCGACGTCCCCTCTTTCCTTCCTGAGCGTGGCGGTTTGCCCCTTCTCGTTCTCCTCGCCAGTCCAGGTAGAGGTCACCAACTTGACTGATGTTTTGAAATAACCAGCTTTGGCTTTCTTGAGTTTTTTTCATTGTTAGTCATTTTCTAGTCTCTGGTTTCCATCCTTTATTATTTTTCTTCTTTCTATTTATGTTAGGGTTTAATTTGCTTTTTTCTAGTTTCTTAAAGTAGAAGCTTCAGTGATCGACATTACATGTTCTTCTCCAATTTAAACATTTGAAGCGCTGAATTTTCCTGTAGATACTGCCTAAGCTGCATTCTGCATATCTTGACATGATGCAGTATTTTAGTTTTAACTTAGTTAAAATATTTTGTAATTTCCCTTGCAATTTCTTCTTTGAACTACGGTGTATTTAGAAGTGTATTGTCTAACTTCCAAGTCTGGAGATTTTTCAGGCGCCTGTCTGATCCTGATTCTAATCCAGTCCCGTGGGGATTGGAGACGTCCTCTGATTTCAGCGCTGCATCGCTGCCGCCTCACTCTATGGCACGGCACGTAACCGCCTCTGGTGAAACTCTCCTACGCACCTGAGAACAGCTGGGACCTGGGGGAGGTCTTGGGCTTACTCTGAACTTGAGGTTCCTCGTTGGAAAGGGGCACCTTCCGCCCTCTTGGTCAGAGACACGTCGCCGGGGCTTGGAGTGCCGGGCAGTTCTGGGTTCTGACAGTGACCTGTCCTGCGTCTTGACCTTGCAGATGGCACACGAGGCGGAGCGCCAGCCCCTCGGTGTGTTTGAGTGCCAGCTCTGCTCCCTGACGGCTCCGTACAGCTACGTGGGGCAGAAGCCCCCCAACACCCAGGCTATCATGTGAGTACATGCCCAGTGGCCCGTGCGTCCCCGCACACCGAGCTGGTGGCCTGAGTCTGACATGTGGCCTGGGTGTCGGCTTTAGGCCCGCCCAGCCCGGGTCTGGGTGTTTGCTGCCACCTGAGGAGGCCCCAGGCAGGGCTCGAGGGCCGTGCTGCTCTCCCAGCCCCTGCCAGCCCCTTCCTGCCCTCTGCGCCCCCAGTCCAGCCCTGCCGGCGCCCGGGGAAGAGGCGCTGTGGCTCAGGCTGGGGCAGCTCGGCAGCTGGGGGTGGGCAGCGGGGGAGGCCTCCTCACAGGAGTGGGGGGATGGGGTTGTGCCCCCTCTGCTGGTGCTCAGCCTTGCAGCTCCGGCGCTGGTGGGAGTGGGAGTGAGTCCTCAGCACCAGCCCCCCGGGATGTGCCCAGAGATGGGCCTGGAGCGGAGCCACTGGGTCTCAGGCTGGGTTAGTGACCTTCAGTTTGTCCCCCATCAAATGCCACGTCGGGGGGAAGGCGACCGACACGTCACTCACACAGGACAAGTGGCAGGGGCCAAGGTTTCTCCCTTCTGACTTGGTGGGTTCCTCTACTGCCCAGGAACTGGGGACGTCGCCTTGGAACCCCAGGGATGTCCTCCTTCCTGGTGTGCAGGGTGAGGCCGGCACCTCACACGGTGTGCAGTGCCCCGGTTCTCCCTGCCTGGATGCGGGCCGTTTGGGCATGGGCATCGCCACGGCAGGGGCGAGGGGCGGCCTCGTGGCCCTGCCCCCTCTGGAGCATCGGGCTGGGGGCTGGGGGCTCAGGCTGCAGCAGCCCCTCCATGGGCCTCCCCTGAGGCTGCTTCCAAACCCCTCGGAGCCGGCTGGGCGTGCAGGCCCGGGAGGGCCTCCCTCCACAAAGGCTGGACACTGGCGTCCCTTACTGCCCTGCAGCCTCTTGGAGGAGAGCTTCGTCACCAAGGACCCCTTCACCCCTGACAAGGGCAGATTCCTGGTCCTGGGCTCCAGGTGCAGCGTCTGCGGCCGGCTGGTGTGTGTGGGCCCGGTGGGTAAGCCGCAGGGGACAGGGGCCACCTTCCCTGGGGGCCGTGGGAGAGGTCACCCATGAGCCTTTCCAAGGGACGGTGTGAGCGCCAGCCTCCCCCTGCCTCTGGGACCCCGGGATCCCTGTGGGGGCGGGTAGGGGCTGCTCTTAGAGACCAGCTGGCCTACCTCATGATGGACAGTCCCTTAGCTGAGGGAAGGGGTGGGCACAGGCGGAAACTGGGGTCAGCCCGAGGGCCTCTGTGGGGCTGGGGGAAGGAACAGATTCTTGGAGGCTCCACACCACCCCAGTGGCCCCTGGTGGTCGTCGCTCCCCCGCCCCCAAACACAGGGTGGTGACTTTTCTAATTGTTCCTGGGGAGCCTTCGTGGGGAAGCAGTCCCCCCTTCCGGAGCTTGTTGGGTGCCCTGCGTTTAGTGCCCGCTTTACCCCGGAGGCTGCCTTTAATCTGCCCCAAAGCTGGGCTGGCAGAGCTTTATCCGGGAGGAGAGAGGCTCCGAGAGTGGGGGCGGGGCCAGAGCACCCGCACAGCGAGCCCAGCGTCTGCAAACCCAAGGGTGGGAAGGCGGGCGGCGGGCGGCGGCCTGTCCCGTGAGCCACCCTGCCCACGGAGACGCCCCTGAGCACCCTGCCTGGTGATGAACTAGGGACGAGGGAGCTGTGTCCCAGACCACAGCAGAACAGTCAGCCGCTCCCTCCCTCCCTCTGCCTCGAAAATGCAGGATGAGGAGAAGGGATGTGGGAGGAGCCTCCGTCCAGGCTGCTGGGGGACTCCCGCCCCCCCTTCTTTTTCTCTCAGGTCAGGACCCCACACGCTCCTTGAGGTGGCCAGGCCCCTGGGCCACAGTCTCCCTCTGCTGTTGGGCTGCGGCCGCACCCTTCCCCCCTCCTCCCAGCTGCCCGAGCGGCCGGCCCCTGCCCTGCGTGCGATGAAGGGCTGGCCCCCAGTTCTCAGCACTCCCCTCCTCTTCCAGGAATGCAGCCTGTTCTACTCCAAGAGATTCTGCCTCCCTTGTGTCCAGGAGAACGTCCACGCCTTCCCTCAGGAAATTCGGCTCGACTTGGAGAAAAGGAAAGTTCCATCGAAGAGGCCGGCCAGCCAGCCCAGCACTCAGGCCTGAGCGCAGCCTCGGTGGCCCAGGCCGGCGCGGGCTGAGCTGGGAGCCCACTACGTGCTGGCCCTGACTGCGGGCGGGCTGGAGCCGCAGGGTGGCGGGGTCCCGCCTGCAGCAGCAGCAGGAGGGCAGGGCTGCGTGGCTCAGAGCTGGGGTGGGGCAGGAGCGGAAGGGAGCTGAGGCCAGGCCTGTGGGGTCCCTCGCTCCCCCCAGGGCGCCGCCTCCCCGCAAGGTCGTCCCTGGGCTGCTCCTGCTCGCACCTGGTGGACCCGCAGCCCCACGTGCCCTCCGTGCGATGGGCCCGATCCAGGACTTGGCCGCGCGCGCCGGACCAGTGTGGGCCCTGCAGCCCCAGTAGCCGTGGGCGCGAAGACGGGCGGTCTCGGAGTCACCCCGGTGCTCTGCAGGTTGCCTGTTGGTGCTCCCAGCCCCTTCTGTTCCCTGCGGCTCCTTCCCGCTCCAGGCCCAGCTCCACGTGGGCCCAGATGGACTTCCCTCCCGCCCGGCTCCATCATCCCCTGCTCCACAGTCTGCTGGCGGCAGCGCCCCCCCCCGCCCCCCAGCGGTGCGGTATGCCGGACTATGAGCAGCCCTCCGCCGCGGCCCGTTTCCTTGTGCCTTTGCTGCGGAGCCGCCGAGCCCGCCCGGGGGAGTGTGAGAAGCGGGCAGGGGAGAGGGAATAAAGAGCCGCTGCTGAGCGAGCGCGTGCCGGGCCCTGAGCTCCCAGGCCCGGCCTTCTGAAAGCCGCGGCCTCCCGTCACCGTACACAAACGCACGTCCCGCTCCGCGGCCACACGTGCCCACGCGCTCTGTTCTCCCACGGAAAGGGGCGGTGTCCCAGTGGCCCCCCCCCGGGGGGGGGCGTTCCGTCGAGGGCAGACGGTGCTGCGTTTGGGGGGATTCCCAGGCAACGGCTGGCTACCCCACAGCATCACTCCGACTCACCCAACCAGTTTTAAAAATAGTTTATTTTTGAAAACCATTAAGGCAAAACGGTACCCTGAAATTAACTCTTTACATTCATCAGTCTTACAGTAGGACATTCCAAATATGTAAGTTCCCGTAAATTCAGGATATAAATCAATATATATATGATCAGTTCAATTTCCTAATGGGAAAGTGAATAAGACCCAAGATTTAAAAAAATTAGTTATCTGAGAACCATTTTTACTGCTGGAACCAAAATTGGTTAGCGGACCGGGAAGGCGCCACGTGCCACAGGCTGCTCTCCGCTCGCCCCGTCCCTGGGGCCCGGGCCCCGCCCCCGCCCCGACGCAGAGCCTGCCGGGAAAGCAAAGCGCTGCTTCCGAGAGCGCCTCCTGCCGAGAGTAAAACCGGGGCGTGTCACCCCACGCGCTCGGAGAGTGTAAGGCACCGGGAATGGTGACAAGAAGCACCCCTGGGAGAGCAAGCGCCGGCCTCGCCTCGGAAACCAGCTCCGTCCTGATGTGGGTCCCGGGGCGGCACGGACCCCCAGCGGCCGGGAGGGAGCTTTTCCCAGATCTGGAAAACCGCGGGTGGGAGACTCCCGGGGTCTGGTCTCTGGCTTATGCTTCTGGACCGCGGGGGTGGGGGGCAGGGGGCGCACCGGGAGGCTGCCGGAAGACCAGCCTGTGCAGAAGTGTCTGGATTGCGGAGTTCTTTGGCACTAACCCGCAGGTACTAGTCCCCCGGGGGGGGGGGGCAGGGTCCAGGCCCCGCGGGTAAGTCCGCGACCTCGGGTCCAGGGCGGCCCGGCTGGTGGAGATGACACAGACCAACTCGCTGTGCCGCTCGCACGCCAAGTGCGGGAGCGAACAGACCTACGCAGAAATAAATCCCAGAAGACGGGAAAACCTCGGATGTGCGCGTGCGCGGTTCTGTCTCTGCTGTGACGCTTCCGGGTTCCGGGGGGTCCGAGAGCCAGGCCACTAGGAGTATGTGTCAATTAACACTGATTTCAAAACACCCAAATGGCTGTTACTAGATACATGATTTTAAGTTAGTACATTATTTATATTAGGATTTAAAAAATTCAAATCACAGTATTTAAGATACAGCTATGAACATGGTTCTTCTCACCACACAGTGTAGAAAAAACAGTGGTACAGGAACACCAATACTGCAGTCTCGCCGGGGCGGGGTGCTGAGTGTTAGCCGTCTTTTGTGAGGTACGTGTTTGGGGGGCCTGAAAAAAGGAGCAGACCGACTGTGCTTTTGAAAAGAGAAGACATTTCCCCAGAGTGAGGGAGTTTACCTTGAACGTATCATCGGTCACTTGTCCTCGGGGGCCGGAAGCCGGCCCGCCCTGCTGCCGGGAGCCTGAGCCGGGCCCCTCCCTGGGTCGCTGCTGTCCCAGGCTGGAGGGCGCCCTGTCTGTCCCCGGCCTGCGTGAGGCTGTAGTGCATCGTGCAGCAGACTGTAGATGCCGCTGGGCACAGAAGGCGAGAGAGGAGGCTGGCGTGTTCCCCGCTCTGGAGAACAGGGAGCTTTTCACATTTGACCCAAAGTAGCGCTGGAGGGGGTGGGTGGGGGGGAGCAACAACAGACCCAGGTCTTAGTTTGCTGTCTCTGGTGTAAGAAGTGGGTTTCTCGGTTTTCTGTTTGTTTGCAGATAATGTGTCTCACAACCACGGGGCCACTGAAGACCTTGATGTGGCTTCGGTCACGACATGGCACTGACCACGGGTGCAGGGGACACAGGGTTCCAGCAGGACGTGGCCGTGTTTCAGCTGGACCACGTTCCCTGCCCCCTTTCTCAGGGCGGGGACTAGTGAACGCGATTCTCCTTCCGTCTCGGGCTGGAATCGTGAGGAGCACGTGGTCCGGGGACAGCCCCCCTGCAGAGACCAGAGAAGGCACCTCAAGGTGGTGGTGGGGGGCAGTGGGTGCGCAGTGCGGGCGGCCGCCTCACCTCTGTTCCAATACGCAGGCCGCACGCAGCCTTTAAAAAAAAAAAAAAAAAAAAAAAGCCCGAAGCCCACTCTGGGGAAATGAAGTTCAGGGACCTGCTGCGTTCCATAGCGAAAGCATAGCAGAGGCATCATGGAACTATTTAAATGAGCGCAAGATGACGCACAGAACGTCCAGCGTCACGTCGCCACTTCCGCATCGCGGTTCCCGGAGAAACGCGACGCTCCGAGTCAGGCCAGACACGCTGCCCAGGCAGTCGATGAGCAATTTCTTGAATTCTATTAAAATGGCACCTGAAAACTATGTAAATCTCAGCAAAAACTGACACCTCGACCTCTGGAGCTCGCTGGGCAGGCCCCGCGGAGCAGCAGGCGCCCCGGGCACCGTCCCTGCACTTGGGAAGAGCGAAGCCGCCGGCCGACCGCACGCACCGCAGAGCTGCCAGCACGGGGTGCGGGCGGGCGGGCCCACGCTTCCTGTCGCAGCCTCCATGTGACCCCGCACAGCTGGCCTGCCAGGATGGCCTTTCTGCCGCAGGCGTCTACGGGCACTTCCCTGCCCACGGTGCCACCTGAAGGCCACTTCTGTCGGTACTCTGAACGGACCGCTCCATGCGAAGACTCGGTTGGCAGGAGTCCTCAACCCCAGGGGCGCCTGGGAAGCTGCGCCATGTTAAAACGAGAGCGGGCACAGCCAGAGCCGGCTTGGGACCGCCTGGAGCCTGGGGGGGACGGTGCCATCGGAACTGGGTGTGGGAAAGTCTTCCACGGGCGTTCTTTTAGCAGTCAGGAAGCCCTCAGCGGGCTGCACCGATCTCAGTCTGCAGCTTCGATGGGCTGTACAATTTCCTCGCCTCTCCTGTGTGGGCACCATTGTGGGCGCTTGGAGGGAATTTGAAGGACCGACCGCCCGGGAACACATGCGCCAGGCAGACCAGGCGCGGCCCCAGGAGCCCAGAGGCCAGTGAAGCGCGCTACGCCTAGCCGAGGAGATAGGCCCCCCAAGCTGAGACTCAGAGGAAACAGACAAGTGGACTTTACTTCCAAAGCCACGAAGATCCGTGACGTGGGTGGGCTCTGTGAACATTTGCTGTGTTTTCCTAGTGGGGTCTGCGTTTTGAAAGGCGACACGGCTTGAGGAGGTACTTGGAAAGTGGCTGGCTTTCCCTGGGTCCCTGGAAGCCCTTGGCCAAAGGCCAGGCCCATGGTCAAGTCCGTTTTAGCTGGTGGTGCCCGGCCCACTGGCCGAAACAGTGGGCCCACATGCAGAGAGCAGTCCCTAAGGTAGTCAGTGACAGGCGTGGCCACCGGGTGAAGGCCAGAGGCCACTGTGCGCCTGGCAGCTGGGACCCACTGTGCCCAGTGTCACTGGTGTGTGGAGGCAGCAGGGGCAGAGGCCCGGCTGTGACGACAGGGCGAGACCTCAGTCCGACCAGACTGCGCAGAGGCCTCTCTCCGTCCTCCTCCGGCAGGGCCGCCCCGCGCACAGGCTGCTGCACGGCCGCAGGCGGGGCCGGAGGGGAGGGAGGCCTCGGCGCGGGGTCCCTGCAGGCCTGGCCCCGTCATACTCAGGCTCAGGCTCCCTGCTGCTCCGGGCAGCACCTCCCACACACGCGTGTCTGTGACGCTCCCTTTCAACGACAGAGGTCCCTGGGGGAGTCACTGAACCCTCCCCGTCTGTGGGGGGGGGGGCACACGGCCGCCGAGCCCGGCCGCGGGTGGGAAGGCTGCAGGGCCCAAGCACCTTTGTCTGCCCGGCATCTCCGACAGGTCTGTTGAGGTAGCTGGTGTGCAGCCGACGGGAGGGGGGGCACTAGTGGCGGGCGGCTGTCACCACACCTTGAACGGAGGGTGACCTGCGTCTGGAGCTTCTGCTCAGGCCCGAGGGGGCAGTCTCGTCCGAGGCCCCTCTGCTCAACCCCCACCCGGGCGTTTCGGAAGGATGGCCCGGGCCAGCAACGCGTCGGGACACCCAGGGAGCCGCCTTCCGCGCTCGGGGAATGAAGAGCAAGGGCCCCTCAGGACGGGGGTCCGCCCCCGGGGGCAGCCCGGGGGCACTGAGCTCCGCGGTCCTCTCCTGGGCTCCGCCGTCACCGTGCTCCTTGGGAAGAGGCTCGGGGCTCATCTTCTCAGGGTTCTAGAAGGGTCTCAGGGAAGCCAGAGAGCAAGGCAGGAAGAAGGAAAGGCCCTCCGGGACTCTGACGACTCTCACCATTCAACCCCCCCCCACCCGCGGCCAGCGCACTGGGAGCATCTTGTCTCAGGTGACACAGGGCGTCACGAGGTGACTCCCTGCAGGGCAGCCCTCGCCGGGTGGCGGGTGCAGAATCTGCATGAGGGACACCCCACCAGAAATGCCCGGGGGGCCCGGAAGGGCGGGTGGAGAGGCCCCACTGGGGCCGCCCCGAGCTGGTTGGCAGGCATGTCTGTGAGGAGCCTCGGCCGTCCCTGGTTCTTGTCAGCACTCGAGACCGAGGTTGTCTGACGACCGTGTGGCCCAGGAGGAGTTTGGCACTCTTTGTGATCCCAGGCCAGGAACCCAAAGAAGCAGGTTTCAACAGACTGGCTGAGGCGTGGGTCACTGGGTGCATTCACTCAGAGGAGGCAGCAGTGGCTTTCCACTTGTGGCTGGAAGCTTCTGGAACCACCAGGGCGCAGGTGCTCACGGACACCCAGCGCGCGTGCACGCTCCTCCCCGAGCCCCTGCGAGAAGTGCCCCAGCGCACGGGGCTGGGGGGCGGCCGCCTGAGTCTGACCCCCGACCCGCTGGGGAACCCAACGAGCTGACCCGAAACACTCTGAGTGGCCGGTTGTGACGCTGCTATTTAACCAGAATGGGAACACGGGGTTTTCCTTCCCATTAATAAAAGCGAACCGCATCAAGACAGCAAGCGGCTTCTAAGCTGAGGTCCCTTGGGGGCTCCTTTGTGGCCTCGCGGGGGGTGTGGCTGGTCAGGTAGCCAGGTCCCGGGAGAACTGACGTTCAGCAAGGCCACCGACGCACAAGCCGCGCCTTCCGGCAGCTTCCCGGCACGTCGAAGACACGAGCTGCTTGGGGCGGGGGGCTCGATCGGAGCCTGAACGGAATGCCCACCTTGTCTGAGAGCCCGGGTCTCGGGGCTCGCTCTCCAAGGCCAGAGGTCAGCGGAGGTGAAACAGGTGCAGCCCTTCCCGAGCCCCGACCTCGACAACCACGGCCCCCCAGCCTAGTCAGCGCGGGGGGCCTCCTTCCGGGGGAGAGCATCGGGGGGCTGCTCCCAGGCTCCTGCCTGGCGCGGACGGCCGCTGGCTCCGTGCCCTCCCCACATGGGGGCGCTGTGAGCCGCTGCCAGCAGCTCCTCTGACGGGGTCTTGACCAACAGACGAAGTGTGTGTGGAGTTTTTCACAGGGTGCCCTGGTGGTAACTTTCACTTTTTTCTAGTTGAGGTCTCACAGTGGGACTGTTTTTCTATTGCATTTCCCTACCGCTGACCTCGGGAAGCCTAACCCTCCTTTAACAGTGGGTGACAAAGACCTTAAAGGGCCAGATGTTGTCAAGGCAGCGGGGGAGGGGTGTCCAGGACACATCCAGACTGTGGCGCTGTGGGCGCGGTGTCCAGGGGCCCCTGTGCGCCTGCCGGCCCTGGCAGGCGAGCTGCTGAAAACGTCTGAGGGGACGATGGATCCGCCGCGGTGACAGAAAGGGAGAGTACGCCTGGGTCCACACACTCTAGACACAATGCACATGGCGTCCACAGGTGGCCTGAGGCCGAGAAGCCGACCTTTAAGGCTGAAACAAGCATCTTCCCGTGCTGGACAACCTGCCTTATGCGCAAGGTTGGAGAAGGGCACTCAACTCTCCATCTCCGCACGAGCCGCCGGCCGTGGAGGCTCCTGGGACAACGAGAAACCACCTGCGGGACCTCACCCCCACCCCCAACCCCGTCGTTCCCCAGGTGACCCCCCCCCAGGACTATAAAGTCACACTTGCCTCGTCTTCCCCACTCCAGCGAACAGCTACTACCACTAAGAGTTACAAAAATAAAGCTGCATATTTTAAAAAGCAACACAGGGAAAGCCCCAAGAGCTGCCTCGACTCACAGGACACAGAAGGACATTTGCAGGTGACCTCTCAGGCTGCCCTGGAAACCATGTCCCCCCCCCCCCCCGTCCCCAGCTGCCACCATGGCCCACCTTTGAGAGGAAGCAGGTGGGAGGGCTGGAACACTGAGGTACTTCCAGGTTCACTGCCATCCTGCTCACCGATGCCAGCTCTACCGGGGCCGTGAGCCGGGGGGCGGGGGGGGGGGGCGCGGCAGAGACGCGGTTTCCTGGGTCCTCCTACAGGAGCTGGGGACGGGCCTCCCCACGGCCTACTTGCAGCCGAGCACCCGGGGAGCCAACGTAATGCGGCGGCCGCGCTTCCAGCGCTTATCAGACAATTCTTTAGAATTCTAACTTCTACGATTAAAAAATTGCATGTTGTCGCTCTTCGAATTCAGGGAGCAGAATCGAAGTCTTCTGAATAAATACTTAGCCGCTTTTAAAATGCCTAACCTTTGGTTACATCTAGATATACAGGATTACGAAAGTTAAAAAGTGCTGATTAGTTTCCAACATAGGAAGGAGCCCAGGGGTCAACAGTGGTACCTGGGGAGACGGAGCGCTCCCCGAGGTCGCCAGGCACCAGTGGTGAATCACCGCCCTGATTTAAATAAATCTGCATTGATTAACACCGGACAGCTTCCAGTCTGACAGCCTGGCATCGCTCTCCGAGTTTTCCAAGCCCCGACTCTGCACGCTCTCGGTAAAAAAGTGGCCGGTGTGGAATGGGGTCGCGGTTATCTGGAGCGCACGCGTCAGGTTCTCGGGGTCCGGCGGGGACACCTGTGCAAAGTGGCCTTGATCCCGTTCCTCCTCAGCAGCGCCTGCCGCCACCTCCATAAGTCCCGGGGAGCTCCCCTCCCCTCGTTCGTTCGAGAGAGCTCAGTACATGTCCCTGTAGATCTCCTGCAGCAGCGGGTGCAGCGCGGCGTCCGACTCGGTCCTCTTGATGACCTGCACCAGCTGCGCGTGCTCGGTGACCAGCTGCCGGAGGTCCGCCATCTTCTGCAGGAGCTTGGGGAAGAGGAAGGCGTCGTCTGGGTGGTTGCTCTGCAGGTGGAGTTTGAGCACGTGCACTATGCCCTCCTGCATCTTCTCAATCTGCCCGACATTTAGCAGGCCAGGGCGATCTACCCCCAAAGGAAAGAAGAGATGGTTGAGCGCACGGCCATCCTGGCCGGGATCCACCTGAGAAAGCAGCATCCTCCTGTCCCCGGGCCTTCCTCCCCTGAAGCTCCGGGCCTTCAGACACTGCAGACCCGACTAGGGGACAGCTGGATGCTCCCAAAGCCGCCTGGCCTCACGGGGGCAGACGGGGCAAATACTCATCCCCCCGTATTCCTGTGGCCGGAAGCGGGCTAGACCTCACAGCGTGGCCCTTTCCTTGCCTTTGCCCGACGTCCCCGTCTTCGGGTGGACACCCCAACAGGAGGAGGAAGTGTGTGTTGGGACCATGGCCACGACGGCCAGTTTTGCACAATGTGGGAGGTGAAGTTCCTCCTCCTGAGTCAAAACTAGGCGTTCGGGGTCGAGTTTTTCGCTGATCGTTAAGGGCAGTGACGGGGCGAGACCTGGGTTTTGCTGGAGAAACCACTGTCGTTACAGGGACCTCCCGATGCGAACCAGGGGGAAGGAAGTGGAGTGAGAGATGCGGGGGTGGGGGAGGGTGCCGAGACCCGGAGCTGAGGGCTGCTGCCGGTGGGGTCAGAGTCGCCCTCAGGGGGGCCCCTCGTGGGCTGGGCCGTGGGCACCAGGGTTCTGCCCTTGGTCTAGAAAATACCCTCCCCCCGCCCCCCGGCCCCACAACCCATACTCAACGGGCAGGTTAAAGCCCCATTCACACCTGTGATTTTCAGGACTATTGCTTATGATATAGATTTTTTTCCTTCTTTCTTTCTTCCATCTTTTTTGGTTGTAAAACATACAGCTGACCTTTGAACCATGCCAGGGGGTCTAACCTTTGACTCCCCCCCAAACTGAACTGCAGCCCCTGGGTATCTGCAGGGGGTTGGTTCTGGGACCCCCTGTGGACACCAAAACCCACAGGTGCATGTCCCTCGTGTGACAGGGCCCAGATCAGCACCCCCAGCTGGCCCTTCTCCTCTGCGGGTTCCCAACCGTGGACTGAAAATACTGTTTCCAACCTGCAGCATTTTATTACCCAATGTCACCTCAATAAATCCAGTAAAGAGAGTAAGGGCTTCCTGAACCCGGCTGCTGGCTGGGTGGGAACGGGGCGGAGCTGGTGGGACCCAGCTGCTCTCACTCTGAGCCCCTGTGGTGTTGGGATGACAGCGGCAGCCTCGGTTCTAGGAGTGAGTCAGCCACAGGGACAGCACAGCTGCCAGTGGTTGGTGGGGACAGGCGCCCCATCAGCCTCCCTCAAGGCTGGGTAAGGTCCACCGGGAATGACCTTCTTAGACCCGGGACAGTACTATTTACAGCAATGTGACAGCGAGCCACAAATCGGGGCGTGGAGCCAGCCTCCCGCAGAGCAGCCCAGGTCTCCCTCCCCGGGACCGCCTCCTTAGCAGAGCCAACTTTGCGACTGTCGCTGGTGAGCGACCAGTGCCCCTCATCCTGAAGCAGCGTGAGTACAGCTGTCCTGACAGGTGCATGGCACTCCGCAGAGTATGGCATGATAACAACGTGGCAGTGACAGAATTATACTATAGAGTCACGTGCCGCTTAACGACAGGGACACGTTTGGCGAAACCCGCCGTTAGGCGGTCCCATCCCCGTACGACCGATACCGCGCATGCGCACACGCCGAGGCAGTCCGGCCTCCTGCGCGCCGCGGCTACGCTCTGGGCCCCGGTGTGCACGCGCGGCACTGTACGGAGCACGCGGGTCGAGCACGGCGGCAGTGATGCCACCGAGAGCCGCGCACACACGGGATGAGGCTGCGGCGGGCGCAGCGCGGTCTCCGGGCCACGGCAGCCGTCGTGCGCAGGAAGAGCGCGCTCGAGAACCACGGTCAGGAGTGCAGTGCGGCAAACACGCACCAGGGACGCCGCCGTCACTCCTCGCCATCGGGGGCGATGGGCTGCGCCCGCCTGCACGTGCTGTTTTGTCACGCGGCTCTCAGCGCAGCAGGCTGTCCACACCAGCGTCGCAGCTCGTGCGGGGCGCACGGCACCTCGACGTGGCGACGCGGCGCCCTCACCAGGCGGTTGCAGGTTTCCGGCTCCGCGAGAATTATGGGAGCAGGGCTGTGTGCGCAGCCCCTTGTCCACCCACACGTCGTTGCACGGCACGGGACCGCATCGTAGTATCACACACCACGTATTCTATGACGGTATCATCATCACCCCTACCTGGCATACTGCTTGGCGTAACTGCCAATGTTCCAATTTTAAGTAGAGCACTTATATATTATAATGTAAATAAAGCACACACAACGCACAATACGAACTCATACACAATAATATCTGATATGATACAGGTGCGACTCTCATTTGGCTTCTAGGAAGTGGCGACGCAGGGGCTCAGGCGCGGCTCCGCCCCTCCCCGCGGCTCCGCCCCTCCCCGCGGCTCCGCCCCCGCTGGATTTACCACCCACCGTTCACGACAGGAGCCCGCAAGCGTGCGGCACCCGCGAACTGAACAGAGAACTCACCTCCACAGCAGATGATCGCAGCCACGAAGAGGGAAATGTCGCTGTCGTCCAGCTCCAGCGCGTTGAACTTCATGGCGAAGTCAAACTTGGGCTCCATGATGTCACAGAAGGGCTTCCGGAGGCTCTTCAGGAACTCGCGCGTGATGAAGCCGTTTCCGTAGGCGACCAGCATCCCGTCTTTGTTCATCACGGAGGACAGCATGGTGAAGATGGCCTCGTAGACCCCGTACTTCAGCAGCGTGACCTGGTCATTCAGGTCCAAGCTGGCGAAGCCGGGGATGGACTTGGCGAACTCCGTGAGCTCCGTGACGGTCTCCACGGACGTGCACTGGCAGCAGTGGTAGATGCGGACTTCCGCCTCCTTGTTCTGGATGCCGTTGGCCACCAGCTTGGCCACCAGCGTCTTCTCGGCCATACACAACGTCTCCATGTCGTGGATGACGAAAGGCTGCAAAGAAAGGCGCCGAGTTAAGTCCAGTCGTTGGTGACAAGCGTCCTCCTGATCATCAGTGAACTGGCGAGGAGCCAGTGCATCCCAGTGACCTGGGGATGGTCAGCGTGGGCACCAAACACAGTCCCCGTCTAAAGACCCTCCCACCGGTGGGGACCGGGGGACTGCAACAGCGAGCCCACAGCCGAAATGCGCCCGATACCAACCACCACCGCCTGACGCTGCGGGGGCTTCACTGCTGAGAGAGCGAGGCGCTGATTTTTGGCAGTGCAACTAACCAGAGGATACTAGCAAGGCGCTTTCACCGTGTGATCACGTTCTCTGGACGCCTAAACACCGCTGGGGTAGCCCTCACTATGATCATTCTCAACGTTGCCGTTCTACGGCCGGCACACGGGTAGCTGCTCACCCAGCCCTGACTGCCGACTGAGCAGGTCTGGCCGCGAACACGCACACCTCGGGAAGTCGGCGTCTGCGTACAAATAAGCGAGGAGACGTGGTTAAAGCCCGGCTGACTGGGGGCAAACGGCAAGAGCCTTGGAGGACGCCTGCTTCCCTGCGCACGAGACTGGGGCCGGCGCGTCAAAACTCCACGTTCTGGAACAAGGAACAAGCCCCCCCGTGGCAGCAGCCCCACGTGCCCATGCCATTCGCTCCTAACCCCGAGGGTCCTGCACTTTAGAAAGACCGAGTAGAGGAAAGAAGGGACAAGAAGGGACAGGTGGCCGTGTGACTGGAAGCCAGCCTGCCCAGGAGAGCGCACCCATCTGGCGGGGCTCAGGAGAGAGGCACGGACACATTGCCAGCCAGAACTGTTGGGGGGGGGGGCGGTGACGGGGGCGGAGGCACTGTCTGCTGCCCTATGTGAACAGGGTCCGTAGACACCGCATGACTTTAAGGATCACTGCCAGTGGGCAGGACACATCACCACAAAGCGCCTGCCCCGTCGCGGGAGGCGGCCCCCCTCCCGGGTGCACGACAGCATCAGCTCGCAGCCCCCTGCAGGCACCTGTGCGCCGCCCGGGCCGGCACAATCCCACGGGCCGCCTGGGAAGCTGAGTCATAACCTGAGTCAGATCGGGCAGCACAGTATCGGGGGGGAAAAAACCCGACCCCGCAGCTGAGGCGAGGGCACATTTTAGAAAGTACCCCGAATGGTGAAAACATCCTGAAACAAAACTTGAAGCCGAAATGCCTGAACCGCTCAAGCGTGACAGAGGGAGCCCCAAACCGCCTGTCCCCGGAGACCGTAAAAGCACTCGGACCACCACTGGTCTGAGGAGGTCTGGTGGGGGGCGGGGGTCTGCATCACAGCACACGGGAGCCCAGGTTCACGGCGCTCACCCGCACGGGACAGACGAGGGACACGTCCGTCTGGGTCAGAGGGCGGGCGGCAGCCCTCCATTTCGAACAACAGACTCTGAGGCCACGCTGACTTTATCCGAATCACTGGCTTTTCCAGCACGTTCAGTGGGGGCGGGCGGGAGGGTTTTTAGAGAGGGGAGCTCCATGGTCAGAAACATTCGAGAAACTGTGACTCAGAGGCAGCAGGGCCTCCCAGAGTCTGCAGCGTGAGCGTGGGCCGCGACGCTCCCACACCGGGGTGGATTCCCAAGTGCTGGACGACAGAGTGCTTCCTTCTCTCCGTGGCGGTTCACAGGCCGAGCCCAGGGCCCAGTGCAACGTGAAAACGGGGGACGCTCTGCTCAAGAGTGATTGAGAATCTCAAGGCAGCGACAGCTTAGCATTCCACCCCAGTCTGGGCCGCCAAAACAGGGCACACACCCACGGGGCCGGCCCCCAGCAAGTTTAAGGACACACATGCTCTCATAAAGTGGGGGGCGCCCTCAATGGTCACAAATATTCCATGTTAATAAAGTCGTCACTTGGATTTTTAGAAGGCAGGCCTCATTAACTGGCCAATTTGGAGACCACTGGAATTCAAAACAAGTGGTGACATTAAGAAGCCAGTGTTTATTAAAGCTCGAGAAACTGTAGCTAAAACACCTGAAAAGCTGCCAAGCTCGGCTGATAAACATTCCTGATAAGACTGTTTAAGACAGCTGTGCAGCTAATACCGGGCCCGGCACAAATAACACCCCTCTTATTACAAACTCTTATTACAAAATCATAAGCATGTCATTCTGTAACGCAACAATAACACACTCAAGCACACCAAGGGACATTTCAGGGAACGTGTTCGAACTGCTGTCCCTCTCGTGCGAGACATTCACGGACCCCGCCGGCCACACCCACGCAAGCCTCACTCCGGGGGGGCCCTGTGGTTTTACTTTGGAATGCGCCCTTCCCACTCGCGCCTGGCCGGGAACCCATCTGACGTGACGGGGGTCGTTCCCAGGGAGTCAGGAGAGCGCGCCGCGCGGATCCGAAACTGCCCGGTTTCGCCTGCAGCCGCCCCACGCCGAGGCCAGCGGGCCCCCGGCCAGCACACGCCCGCGGCTGGCTGCACCCGACGCTGCCCCGTGTGCCGCAGTGTCACCTGCAACAACCCGTCTCCAAAACACATCCCCGCAGCATCTCTGTAAACGTTGGGCAGCACTGTCTTCTAGGAAAAGCCTGTGAGTTCCTGGTAGAGCTGCCTCGGATGAAATGATTTAATGAGCGTTGGGCTAGGCTTGACTGCACACTTCCAGAAATGGTATAAACCACCAAGTCTGGTTTTCAATCTGAAGACGACGAAAGAAGCAGGCGTAGTGTTTCCACCGAAGGCTGGCAGGAGACCCCGCGTGGTGGCGGGCGGCTCGTCCCCGAGGTCCCGCAGCACTGACCGCAGGGACCCCCCCTCCGCAGCCAGCTGCAGAACCTGCCCTCCGCCACACGTCTCCTTGCTTCATTTTTTTTTCAAACGGGACCCCGACTCTGTGGAACCCCGTCTGCGTGCCAGGCTGGCTGCGGATGACTCCTAGCTCGGCCTGAAGCTCACCGACCTTCTCAGAAGACAAGCGTTTTCCGTAACTAAAGACATCCAGAGACTCTACAGGCAGTCCCCGACCATGTGAGTGACACGGGAACCCCCGAAGCGGACACCTGCTGTCCCTCACCCGACGGAATCAACAACTCCTGGTGCGTCTGCGAGACGGAAGAGGGGGCAGGGCTGCTCGCCGTCACGCAGACCCCGAGCGGCGGGCGTCTGAGCAGCCGGTGCCAGAGAGTTGCTGCCTCCCTAACAAGCGCCCTCAGCTCTTCCTCAGAGAGGAGCCGGCTCCCCAACTGAGAGGCAGCTGAGGCTGAGAGCGAGTGTGCAAGGACAAGCGTGCTCGTGTGCATGAAGTGTGTGTGGGGGTTCACGTGTGCATGTGCACACACGTGTGAACATGTGCGCGTGTGAACACACACGTGTGGGAGTTCGCACATGCGTGTGAGTGTGCATGCACACACATATGCATGAGTGTGAGTGCATGTGTGCCCGTCACGAGAAAGGCACTGACCTCAAAGCTCCCCAGTCTCAGCTGCACGCAGCTTCCTTCCAAAGGAGACACCCCCGGCCCCTCACCAGCGGTCAGCTCGCGGCCTCTTCCCAGGCGCCGTGTGTGGGAAGCACCTCTTTTGGAAGCCATGTCCAGAGGGGAGCCACATTCCCCCCAGTTCCTCGGGGACACTTCTGTCCCTGTCACCCTCAAAGCAAGGGGCGGCGAGTGCCCTGACAGGCTCTGACCAACAACAAAGGGCCCCGCTCCCTGTGACCTCCAGGGGCTCACCCCAGCCTGCGTCCAGGCGGACACAGACTCTGGCTACCCAGCCCACCCCCACTGCCTCCGCTAGAGCCCCTTTCCCCAAAGCGACTGCATCTGCCCGGCTTCCAAGCAACATCCCTCCCTCCCCTGAGACCCTGTCTCCGTCCCTTGCACCCGAACCCTCCCGGTCCACCCAGCATCCTAGTGGGTCCCGGGTCAACCTCAGGTCTCTGCTTCAGCGGATCCACGGGCCACGGAAGTGGTTTTCACAGAGCAAAGCGGTGGTCAGGTGCAAGGGTCAGGCCGGCTGCCACTTCCAGCAGGCCGGGGCCTGCTTTCAAAGTAAAAGTCTGCCAGCACCGAGGGCCAAGTCTGGGTGACGGTCCAGAAGCTCCATGCCCTCGTCTAGCAGGTCCTGCAGGAGGCCGCTCTGGGCCTGGCGGGGAAGAAGCCAGCCCTGAGTGACGGCAGACCATCCCCCTCTCGCTCCAGGGGCAGACCTGTCCTCCCAAGTTCAAGCTGTGTGACTAAGTCTGCCGACAGCCTGGACAGACTCACGCTCCCCCACCTGACAACACAGGCCCGGTGGGCTGGCGCCGCTGCGGCTCCGTGAACGACAGACACACGCACGCCGCAGGTGCGGGGGTCTGAGAAGCCGACGCCGCTTCCCGGACCCGTTCCCCAACACAGCTTCAGCGAGGGCCGCCGTGTCACCTGGGCGGGACTTCCGTGAGCAGTGCTGAGCGCTGGGTCACTGAGCGCCGGGTCACTGAGCGCCGCTCAGGGTGACCGGGCCAGGGGAAGCCTGGCCTCCCCCGGAGATGTCCCACCGACAGACTGAACTGCTTCCCGAGCCACGTGAAAGGTGCGGGCTGTGGTCTCCCCACCCGCCGGCTCCTCCACACGGAGCAGAGAGAGAAGACCGGGGCCGAGGCCGAGTCGGGGTGGGCAGGAGGAGGGCCACACCTCCAACGCGGAGAGGACCAACGCGGGGTGGGAAGCGAGCCCGGCCCAGGGCAAACCGTGCGGTCACAGGCAGTGAGCGCCACCCCTGGACGTCGTGGTTCGCAGGTGGGGGGCGGGAGCAGGCCCCGACCCTAACAGGACACCGAATTCTCTTCCTGGTGCAGTGAAGCCCAGCCCCAGACTACCGGTCTCCTGTTTGTCTCCTTGGGACCCGAAGACAGATTCTTCTCCCAGAGGACCCCGCCGCCCAGACGTCGCTGGCTCTGGCAAAGCGTGACGGGGCCCCTCCTAAGACCCGGGGATCTCAGCGGGCCACCCACAAGGACACTCCCTGGAAATCAGATTATATTCAACGGGAGTGCTTGGTTAAGAGTAAAGACGACCTTTAGTTTGCCTTAAATTCCACAACTCCTGGAGAGAAAGAGAAGACCTCGGAAAGATCGAAAAAGATCTGAAACAGATGGGACTTTTCGGTGACGCCGGTTCCGGGCTACACCCACTCGTCACCTCCAGGAAAGGTAAACGCGACGCGCACACGGGTCCCTTTGCTCGCGCTCCGCTGAGTCCGCTTGCCCCGGCCCCTGGGGCCGCCCGGCGTGGGTGCGCTCCCTCCCGTCTCTACCGGGGTTCGCTCGCACCCCCCGCAAGGGTCTCAGCCGATGCCGTGGGAGAACTCACTGAAGTCTTAAAGGACTCGGTGGAAAAGAGGTTTGGTCTGCTCACGAAAGAAAGGAGCTTGTGAAATACTTTACTTCACTGTGACTAAAACCTCCAGCCTGTGATTCCCAACAAGGATCGCTTCGAGCTACTCATTAGTACACACAAAACCTGTTCCGCCAGGCTCAGAGGACAGTGCCAAGTGTCCTTATTTGCCATCCTCCGCCGCCCCCCTCTTTGGAGGCAGCTCTGTGGAGACGGACTTGGTTATCGAGGGGTGAGGGTGGGGTGACGCCAGGCTGGGCAGGTGCTGAAGCACGTGCAGGGGGTCCCCAAGAGGCACTCACAGATGCTCCCGGAAAGGTCCAGAACTTTCCAAAAAGAGAGCAACATTCCCGTAAACACCTCCCCCTTTCGAGGCCCTAAGCCGGGGGGGGGGCTGCCTTCCCCCCGAAGGCAGGAAGGGGCGTGTGGGGCAGCAGGTCGAAGCGGAGGGCGCAGTCCGGGGAGAAGGGACGCACGACCGCAGTCTGAGTGGGACCTGAACGGTTTCACTTTCTGGTGTTAAAATGGGGATTTTTTTTTTTTAAATGCACTCAGACACACCCTAGAATCTGGTAGCTATTAACTAGGTTTCTTTTTTTGGTATAGTAATTACATAGGCCTTATAGTAACTGGGTCGCTAGGAGCTTTGGGGTGGATCAACCCCAGCAGACAGGAGTGGTTAAGCTACGTTTTAGCATCTCTGAGTGAATGTTTCCATTCCACTGTCTCTCGGTCACCTTGGGGACAAGTCCCGTTTCCCCAGCATTCGATACCTGTCTTCTCAGCCCTCCTCTGCGCTCTAGCGGACGTGGTGCCGTCAGAACGCGGCGGCCTGGCAAACGCCCGCGGCGCAGGGGAGACACCTACCGGGTTGTTGCTGGCCTTCCCCGCGAGGATGACCCGGGCCTTGACCTTGTTCATGTTGAAGTTCTTCAGGTAGGCCTCGTAGATCCTCTTGGCGAGGGACTTGAGGTCTGCCGTTTCGGAATCTTCTACGTCATGCTCACACGTGAGGATTTCTGCTTTCAGTTTTGCTTTCTCAGACCTTGGCATGCGTCCAAAACGAATAGCTGGGGGTGGGGAGAGAAACGGGACAGTGGGGGAGGGACGGACGTGAGCGCGGCAGCGTGAAAGGTGGCTCACGGAGGCCCGGACCGCCGCGCGCAGGTGCAACCCCAAATGGAGGTCGGCAGGTAAGGTCAAATCCGCCCCTTAATTCTGCTTTGGAGAGATGAACACAAAACTCAAACCCCACTAATCCTGGGCCGTTTCCAAGGGTTAAAATGAAAGGCAACGCCATTACTCATTAATGAGGAGGTGGGGCTTTGGACGACCCCCCACCATCGGGCCTTCCGGTTGTGGGGGGGACCTGAGTCCCGCCGCGGCGAGTTCACGTCCCCCCTTTTCCTTTTTCCAGAAGGCGGACACGCCACTTTTACGAACTCGTTGTTTTGCGTTTATCTCCGCCTGCAAGCGGCGTGTTCTCAAACGAGAGGGTGACTGAATTAAGTTAAATTCACAGCAGGATAAGACGCCCAGATGGCACCTGTGTGACAGGAAGGGGCGTCACGGCGACACGGGGACGGACAGCCGGCTCCCAGACCCTGCGTCGAGCCTCACCATCGGACGGTTCCAACTGCGACTCCCGGTGCCGCGCCGAGCCTCACTCAGCGTGCGGGGCTGTCGGTTTCTCGGGTCGCTGCGGGTGCAGCGCGATAGCGCCGTCCACTCCCCAGGTCGGGAGGGGAAACCGAGGCACGGGCTGGGGCGAGGCGGTAGACGGCCTTACCTACCGTTATGGGACATCCCGACCGACAGGCACTTGTGGAAGCGGCAGTACTGGCACTTGTTGCGGTTCTTCTTCTGGATCTTGCAGCTGCGCTCGCACTTGTCGTAGACCAGCTTCAGCCGGATCGTGCGCCGGAAAAAGCCCTGCGGGGGCGACGCAGGGGGCGTGAGGCGGGGGGAGGGGGGTGTCCTGGCCCCGCAGCCGCGCGTCCCGTCCTCCCCGCATCCTCTCTCTTAAAACCAACCGAATGCAGGGAAGTGGTTCTGAAGGGTGTGACGTAGCTGCGCCGCACTGAATATTTTAAATGTCATGGCACGTAAGATTAAAAACAAGAAAACGAGGCAAAATTCAAAGTAATGTCAAAATGTCCTCGTCTGGCTTGGAAAGGCACAATTATAATCTCCCAAAGCGTTACCTAGTCCTGGTAAAATCTACACTAATATGACTTTTTCCTCTCCTAGGGCACGTCCGTATTTGTGACTAATAACTGTGTAAAAACTTTTATAAGAGAATGTTAACTTCCCTAAAGACGAAGTTATTTTAAAATATGATAAAAGGAAGCCAGCTTTATGTAAACAATTTGCTTGCTCTACAAGAACACCTTTAACTTTATCTTAACTTTCACTTAACGTTAATGTAAACAAAAACATTATTTATACTTAAAAGTCAAATTTTATTTAACAAACTCTAAACAAAAATAACTTAATCATACAGAAGAGGCCCCTTTACAATGAGCTCTTGAAGAGTTCATGGTTAGAAAGTTGTGAAGTGTGCCCACTTGCATCTGGTTCTTTTTTCTTTGCTTTCCATCATTCTCCCATATATTTCCTTTCTTTTCTCTTTTAAATATTTTATGTATTTATTTTTAGAGAGGGGGGAGGGGGAGAGAGAGAAACATCAGACGTCGGTGTGTGAGAATCCACCAGTTGCCTCTCTCACACCCCCCCGGGGGCCTGGCCCACAACCCAGGCAGGTGCGCTGACTGGGAATCCAACCGGTGACCCTTCGGTTCCCAGCCCACACTCAATCCACTGAGCCACACCGGCCAGGGCCGTTCTTCCACATTTTTGCGTGGGAGGCCTGGCTGGGCCGGGGAGAGGAGGCCTCGATTTCCTGGGGAACGTGGGGGCAGGGCTCCTACTCCCTCCGATTGGTCGTCGGGGCTTGCAGAGCAGGGCGGCCGGCGCACGGGTGAAGCCGGGAGGCAGGGTGAGGAGACAGGGTTTCAAAGGTCAGGACGCAGAGACGCCCGGGCTCCCGCGGCCCGTCCTGCCCGGGCACCGGCCTGGCTCCAGGCCGGGCGTCTCTGTCGTTCCCAGAATGCACAGCGCGCAGCGTGCCACTAGCGGCTGTGGCTCTTCCCGAGAGCTGGTAAAATGTCCAGCGTGTGCAAGGAATGGGACTTCTGGTGGCGAGCATCGAGGTGAGGCGTCGTGTGCCCGCGACGCCAAGCCTGACACACGCGTGTAATTCCAGAAGGAGCCTGTCCTTCCTGCGGTCATGCTGGAAAGTCACGGGAGGGCCCGTGACGCGGTGCGCAGAACGCCGGAGACCGGGCCTGACCCCGCCCTGCTGGCCCTGGGTCACGTGTGCCGCGGACGGGCTGAGCTGGCGTGAGTACGAGGACAGGCACCAGGGTGCTCGTGGTCGGGGTGCAGAGAACCCCGACGTGCAGGAAAGGATGCCGGGGGTCAGGAGCAGCTGCGGAGGGGCAGCGCTGGGTCTGGCTGCCACCTGGCACGTGCTGTGGGACACTGCGCACGACACTGCGCGTGTCCGACGGCCGCGGGGGCCACCGCCCTCCCCGACGTTGCAGCAAGGACGAGAGACAGGGCCCAGGCTCCCTGACCTCGCGTCCAAATGCAGGGGCCACCTTTCAGGTGGCTGGTCTGCCCTTGAAGGACACACCTCTCCGAGGTGCGCACGAAGCGCGGTGCGGCGACCTGCCACCCCTCTCTGGAGAGAGATGGATCGGTGCCCTGGGTCAGGCCCCGCCTGGGGCTTTCTGCAGATCCGTTTTGCAGTGACAAGCGTTTGTGCGCAGGGCAGGAGGAACCACACGTAACCCCCGAAGCAGGCCACCTGTCCCCCATGCCACCCCGCACCCCACGGTCCAGCCTACCTTGCAGCCTTCACACGCGTGAACCCCGTAATGGTAGCCCGAGGCCTTGTCCCCACAGATCCTGCATTCGATGTTCAGTGCTGTGCTGGCGGAGTCCTCGGCGCTACCGTGGGCCCCGGGGTAAGTGACCGATGAGGGGCTCGAAGCCGGTGACAGGGTGTCTGAGGACAGACGGGAAAGACGGGTGAATTTTCAAAGCATCGCCAGTCTACACCTACATCAGGGTTCTGAGGCCACACGAGAGGTGTTTAGGGAGGGGCATCCGCGGGTGGGCGGGGCTTCGCCCAAGCGCCTGCGCGTGCGCAGTCTGGGCCCGCAGGTCTGCGGGTCACACGGTTCCCTCTCGCCACAGGCTTCGCACGCCCCTGCAGGGGACGCGTCCCGCAGAGCTTGCTACTGTGTCTGCGTCCTCCCGGCTCACCCGTGACTGTCAGCTCCGCGCATCGCACCAGAATGCAGCATAACAATGCCCGTTATGCACCATGACCATAACCCATGAAAGAAAAAAATAATTTGGCCTTTCTTATAATGAAAATTTTGCTCTGCAAAAGACACTTAAGAAAATAAAAGGGCAAGCCACAGACGGGGAGAAAAACTTTGCAAAACACACATATCTGATAAAAGATTTGTAACCCAGATATGCAGAGAAGACTTAAAACTTAACAGTAATAAACCAAACAATGCAAATAAAAATTGGCAGAAAGTCTCCATAGACACCTCACTAAAGAAGCTGTAGAGAACTGCAAGTCAGTGCAGAAAACGATGCGGCGAGTCGCCGGTCCTCAGGAGACTGTCACTAAAACAACAATCGGACACCGACACACGCCCGTTAGAGCGACGAACACCCAGACGACCGGCTGCGCCACCTGCCGGCGAGGCCGCGGGGCAGCAGCCCCTCGCTCACTGCCAACGGGAATGCGAGAGGGTGCAGCCGCTCCGGAGGGCAGTCTGGCAGCCTCTTACAAGCAAAACTCTTACAGGAGTTACATTCCTATATATTTACGCAAGTGATTTGAAAACTTATGTTCATACAAAAACCAAACATGAGCCTGGGCTGGTGTGGCTCAGTGAACTGAGCGCCAGCCTTTGAACCAAAGGGCCACTGGTTCGATTCCCAGTCAGGGCCCAAGCTTGGGTTGTGGGCCAGGTTCCCAGCAGGGGGTGCACGAGAGGCAACCACACATCAATGTTTCTCTCCCTCTCTTTCTCCCTCCCTTCCCCCTCTCTTAAAGTAAAGAAATAGTCTTTAAAAAAAAAACAGACATGAATGTTCATAGCAATTTTATTCCTAATTGCCAAAATCAGAAGCGACCAAGATGCCCTGCAGTAGGTGAATGCATAGACAAAAAGCCAGTCTGAGAGGCTGCACACACTAGCTGCTCCCGGGTGCCTGCCGTCCTGGGAGAGGCAGAACTAGGGGGGGGGCGAAGAGCGCGGGCTGGGCCGGGGCAGGGCAGGCAGGGCTGAAGACCAGGAGCCCTGGGGGGTTTTGGAGGTCATGAACCTTCATACGAAAATGCAATAGCAAACACATGATACTAAGTACCCGTCAAAACCCACGGAACTTCCCAGCAGTGAAACTCCAAGTTGCAAATACAGCAGAAATAACCCAGGGGGTCTGCAGAGCCCGGGAGGGAGGGCAGGAGGCCACAGAAGAATGTAACCGCCTCAGAAGCATGGTGCCAGCTCACCTCTGACCTGCGGAACCTTGGGAACGAGCGGTGTCTGGGAGTAAAGGCAAAGGAGCTGACTCAGGCACCGTGGGTCGGCTGGTCGAGCAGCTCACGGGGACGGGTGAGCAGTCCGGACGGCGCTCCGCACGCAGCTGGAGGTGCACGCTCAGTTAACGCAGGGCGGGTGGGGGCAGCCGGGGCTCTCTCGGTTGGAGAGGGCAAGGGAGGCCAGGACGACGGTCACGTGGCGGTGGGCTTGGGCTAGACGCAGACACCGGTGTGACCGCACGTTTGCCTTAGCACAGCCAGACACGGCCACGTAGAGAAGTGCTTGCAGACGCGTGTGCACACACGAGCTGCCGCGTCTTTGCACTGTCGGCTGGGAGAGCCGAGAGACAACGTGCCCAAGTGGCACCCGTTTCGGGGACAACACGGGGACTCGCATGGAGCCGGACACAGTCCCGGTGGGAAGCCTGGGAACGCGGGGGCATTCGGTAAAGCACCCCCAAGGGCTCGACCTCCGCATCGGGGCAAAACCTCCTCCGGATCCACACAGAGCTTAACAACGGGACCTGAAGGGCACGCTTTCCAAGGGGCCGCGCCCAGGAAGGAAGCTCGGGGATCTCTATAGGAAAACAGCCACGTGCGTCACCCTCACAGTTCGCCGCGGGGGGCGTCCGATTAAAAAAAAATGACAAAACACACGGAGAAGCAGGAAATGTGAGCCGCGGTAAGGAGAGGAATCCATGAGCTGGAACGGGCCCAGAAACGATACCAAAGACGCATTTTTGCAGACAGTTTTTAGAGTTACTGTGGCTGTATTGTAAACGCTCCAGAAGCCAGTGAGAGACTGAACAGGCGAGGCAGAGACAGGGCAGGAAAAAACCCAATCGCGCTGCCAGGGACGGGAACTGTGACATCTGACGGGAAAACTGTATTGAGTGGTATTAGCAGCGGGTTAGATAGGGCAGAAGGAAGATCAGTGATCTCAAAGGCACAGCAAGATAATTATCCAAAATGACACACAAATGACACTGGAAAGATTAGTAAACCTGAAGACATAGCAAAATAAACCCCTCAAAATGAAGCAGAAATAAGACTGGGGAAGAAAGAAAAAAAAAAACAGAAAAGCCCTGGCTGGTGTGGCTCAGTGGACTGAGTGCCAGCGTGTAAACCGAAAGGCCGCCAGTTCGATTCCCAGTCGAGGCACATGCCTGGGTTGCAGGCCAGGTCCCCAGTAGGGGGCGCATGAGAGGCAACCACACATCAATGCTCCTCTCCCTCTCTGTCTCCCTCCCTTCCCTTCTCTCTAAAAATAAATAAATAAAATCTTTTTTAAAAACTGCTATCACTAATTAATCAGCTTAACAAGGGTGCGGCATGCAAGATCAATAGCCGTAAATCCGTTGTATTTTTATAAATAGCAACAAAGGATCAGAAACTGAAAGCTGAAAACATCCTTTACAAAGCATCAGAAAACACGAAACAGCGGCGAATCGGACGCAGACCGTGCAAAGACCTGCACAGCAGAGGCTCCAGGCGTCGCGGGGAGAAACCAGAGACCCGGAGGAGTGGAGAAACCGGTCGAGGCGCAGAAGACTCCACGTGGCCAAGAAGTCAGCTCTCCCCACGCCGACCACAGAGTCCACACAGCCCCCGTCAAACCCCCGCCGGCGCCTTTGGTACGAACTGACAGGCGCACTCCGGAGTCCACACGGAGCTGAGAAGGGCCCAGGACGGGCGCACGCCTTCGGGAAGGCGGAGCGTAGCTGGAGGCCGCGATCCCCGCCCACAGGTCCTGTCGCCCTGTGACCGGGAACCCGCGGTTTCGCGGTCAGGCGAGAAACGACGTTTCCAGGAACGTCTCCCAGCAAGGGGCACACGTACCTGTGATGACGGACCCATCCGACCCGGGGCCGCTCCCTAAGTGCTGGTATTCGGTGAAACTGAAGCTCCCGGAACTGTCCTCGCCAATGGACGGAGAAATTTCCTGGATGTTTCCCATTTCCTGCAGGAATTCCTCAGACAACGGGCTTCCCAGATCATCGGTCTCCAGCGGGAAGAGGGGGCAGACCGGGCTCGCCGTGTCCACCATCCTGGCTAGGTCGCGGGGCCGGGTCGCGGCGCTGCACCGCCCCCCTGCGGGGAGAGAGAGGGCGCCGGTCAGACTGGCATACAAGAGCACTGGTTTTCGTTGCTGAGAACGTCATTTATCCACGAGACACCCATGAAGTCATCATCCACTAACTAACATGTAGACCATCTTGCCACAGCTTGAGTCTTAATAAGCACACTAAGAAAATGAACACTTTTTTCTTTTCTTTTTTTTTTTAATGTTTAGACAGAGGAGAGAGGAGGGAGAAAGAGAGGGAGAGAAACATCAATGTGTGGTTGCCTCCCGAGCGCCCCCTACTGGGGATCTGGCCGGCAACCCTGGCATGTGCCCTGACTGGGAATCGAACTGGCTACTCTTTGGTTCTCAGGCCAGTGCTCAGTCCACTGAGCCACACCGGCCAGGGCAGAAAAATGAACATTTTTAAACACAAATGTTTAAGGCGCCATCGCTGGCCAGGCAGGAATCGGTCATCCCTCATGGGGTCACCCTGCGTGCTGAGCTCTCCCACTGCGTCTGAGGGGGACAAGACAGCGGGGACACAAAGCCCCTGTTCTCCCGGAACACACTCCTCATGGGGACACGACGGGGGGCAGACCCACAGAGACACGAGTGGCCGGTTGGGTGGGGACACGATGACGCAGGAGAGTGGGCGGGACGCGGGGACTGCCCAGCAGACTGGGGCACAGCGAGAGCAGAAGGTGCAGGGAGGGAGAGGTGCCGAGGTCTGGCGGGGGGGGGGGCACGTGCCCACCAGCCGCACAGCACGGGCAAACACCCCGGATGGAGGCACCTGGTCGGCACCTTCTCGGAACAAGCAGGCCCGTGTGGCCCCGCCTGGGGGGCCGGGGACAGCAGGAGGGATGAGCAGTCAGCTCACGTGCTGGAGACTGTATCGTACGCCCTGCTGGTACCCTTGGGGAACCCCCTGCAGGAACCCCTAAGACATGGCTGGGCCCTAACAGACACGCTGCAGTTTTACGGAACCCCAATAGGAGGGTCCCCGGCAGAGCTAGCCGACGTCAGCTCCCGGGGAAGCGCCTTCTCCCTGTGGGCCGGGTGACGGGCAGAAGTGGGTCCCCCAGCTCGGGGGCGCAGCCCCAGCCCCAGACCGGGAATGTGGCCGTACGTGGAGATGATGGGGAGGGACTGCACTGGGCGAGTGAGTGGCCCTGATCCCACTGGGCTCGTGTTCTCATGGGAACCAGAAAGCTGGGGCAGGGCGTGCACGGGGACACAGCCAGGATGCCACGGCCTGCTGGCCCCGGGGGAGCCCTCCGGGGGAGGGGGTGCTGCTGCAGCCACCTCCCTGGACACCTGAGCGTGCCTTCGGTGCTGCGAGGGGCCACGCACAAGGACAGCCGCCTCCGCTTCCCGCAAATGTCCCCTTGTCCAGCCAGAGCTGCAAATGGGAGGGGCAGATGGCGGACCAATAGGACAGGGTCAGGCTCCTTGCCACCGCATCCGGGAGTTGGACCGTTTCGAGATCTTGTCATTTTACATTTTGGTTGTTCTGAAGCATGCGCGGGGTTCGGGGAGAGCCTCTGGGGTTTCACTGCGGGTGAAGGGCCAGACAAGATAAAGCCCCTCGCAGGGGCGGACAGCACCATCCAGAACCCTGGCCTGAGGGTCCCACGCGTCCCTGGACATACCGGCCCCTTGTACGTCCAGCTGTAGCAGGCAAGGGACGGCTCCCTCTGAGCGGGTCCCCGGGAAGAACGGCAGCACACGCTCACCACGACAGGCCTGCCGGTGGCCCCGGCACCTCCCGGCTCCCAGCCTCTGCTGCGAGCGCCCTGGCTCTGCCCAGGGTGCAGGGACACCCCAGGGGGCCGCCAGCCCCCCCAGCTGGTTGCCCACACAGCACGGAGAGCACCCCAGGCACCAGGCCTGTGCCCCGTGTCCACGTGCCACGGAGGGATAAAGCAGCGTGACAAAGGAGGGCTGTTCTCAGCAGCTCTCGGCCGGGCCAAGGAGGCGGGACCAGATGGCTGGAGAAAGATCTGGAATGCAAATGGAGCTTAAATAGGTCTCCAGCCTCCCAGCCTCCAGCACAGGGAGCTTTCCCAGAGCTGGGTGGGGGGTGGGGGGGCGGGGGAGCAAAGCGGGGGTTGAGAAAAGGCTCAGCTTCTGTCCCTGGTTCGGGCAAAGGTGTGACGCTCTGAGTAACCCCGTCACTCCGTCCTCAACCCGGGACCCATGGGCCTTTCCGGTGCGTTCAGCCTGAGTCTGTCCAGCTTAAATGTTGGAGCCGCTTCCTGGGTACCAGGAGCTCACGTGTGAACCACAGAACTGCTGTTTTTAGGTCTTCATGACTGAACACTTGTCCGTCAAAATGTTCTTTCGAGCTCTGGCTGGTGTGGCTCAGTGGATTGAGCGTGGGCCTGCAAACCAAACGGTAGCCGGTTCGATTCCCAGTCAGGGCACAGGCCTGGGTTGTGGGCCAGGTCCCCAGTAGGGGGCATGTGAGAGGCAACCACACACTGATGTTTTTCTCCGTCTCTTTCTCCTTCCCTTCCCCTCTCTCTAAAAAAAATAAATAAATAATATACAAAATATTATTTTGAAAACTATGAAACGGTATACAAAAACTATGGGACATTTTAAAAAAAAGATCTTATTTATTAAGATCTTATGGGAGGGAGGGAGGGAGGGAGGGAGGGAGGGAGAGAGAGGAAGGGAGGGAGCAGGAGAGGAGAGAGATTCGATTCCTGTCTCCTGTCACCTCAGCACAGGCCAGGTGGAGCCTCTGGAAGCGTGCGACAGCAGGGGGTGACCTTTGACACAAGGCCACCTCTGTTTTGGAGGCTCAGACGAAAACGAGAGGCTCCAGGTGCGAAGCCAAAGCGGGCGGGGTGCCCTCTACTCCGGTTCCCAGGCACCCCGGCCCCGTCCGGGCGAGCGCCGGCGGCACATGCTGGGCACGGGGGCAGGCCCACGCAGCGCCGACGCCCTGGGAACTAGGTGAAGGTCCGCGAGACCCGGCTTTGGCTGGGCGTTCGTGGCCAGATGGCACAACGGCGCGAGGCCCGCCTGCCAAAGACAATACGGCCTCGGGGACCTGGAGCCGAAGTCAGAGCGGGTCCCCTGGGGAGCACGGTCAGAACCGTGCAGAGGGGACTGAAAAACAAAGCACTGGATGCGGGCGGGGGCGGGATCTAAGCGTAACAGTGAAGGACGTTCCCCTCTGCAGGAACTGGGAGCAGAGGCGCCCGGGGAGGCCTGTGCCCACGGCCTGGGCCCAGGACCCGCACGCACGCAGTGGGCATCGGGACGGACTGCCACGCACAGGCCCCGGCAGACCCCCAGTCTGACCCTCCACCCTAGCAGCAGCAGAGGGAGGACCTGGGGATGTTCTGTGATGCTACGGATCAGGCTGTTTCGACAGCCGAGGAGGCTGCTCAGCTGACCGGGCCCACGGGAGACCGGGGGGTGGGGGGGGGACCCGCTCCCGCTGGCTCCCCCGGGCGTCGCCGGCGCCGACGGCTCTGTGCCCCCGTGTGCTTAGTGGGGTTCCTGGGACCCAGAGGGCTCCTCACAAATACTTTCTGAAGTTAAATATTAAACAACAGCTTGATACCCTGCCGACGATCAGCCGCCGTTCGGCGCTGGGGGTCCGGCCTCCAGGGAAAGAACACGGGCACTTGGACTTGGAATTTCACGCCCAGACTCGCCCTGAGCTCAGAGGGTCAGGGGTCAGCGGTGACGAACGTCAGATGTCACTTCGCTGCGCGTACCTTTCTGTGCCGAACCCCAGCTCACTGGGCTGTCACCCCGTCACATCGTCACCTCAGGGGCTTGGTGACGCCATCGCGCAGAAACCTGTGCCCGTTTTCTTTTTGCTAAAGGAAGCCTGGAAGGCCTCAGGGGCACCGACAGGAGGAAGAGGGGGCTTCTGCTGCAGGGGCCCACCCACGCGGGCGGCAGGTGACACAGCCCTCGGGCGGGGAACCGTCCCCTTTCCCTCCCGCGCTCGCTCGCCCGCGGCCCGGTCCGAGTCCTTGCACTCCCCCATATGCTCTTTAGATACGAGGTGAACACTTAGAGGCCTTTCGCTTCCACGTGTCGGTCTAGGATTTAATGTGGCATCGCAAGGGGAACAACAGAAAGAAAGCTCCAAAGCCCTCTGCGGCTTCACCGGGCACCGGGGACCCACAGACTCAGGTCAGTCGTCACCGCCTGCGCCGTGATTAACACGCTCTGGAGGCACAGAACGTGCTGAGAGGCCCTGGGAACACGGAGGAAGAAAGTGCTGGGGCAAAAAGTGGGGTGAAGACCCCCGGGTCTCTGTGTTGCCGAATTAAACCGAGCACATTGCGGGCACCCGGCACGCCACCCACACAGATTGAACCGGAGATACCCGGGTCTTTCCCAACGGGGCCCCAGGCATCGGACTTTTGTAATCGAGAGGACCTGGCGTGTGACAGGGGTGACAAGCCCAAGTGGCAGCGAGGAGGAGCGGAGGGCCGCCGTCCCTTCCTCCGAATTCGGAGGGAGAACGCCCCCAACCGCTCCCAGGACAGCGGCCCCACCCCGTCTGCGCAGAGGTCCCGCCGAGGCTCGCCGGTGTTTGCAGCCTCCTCTCCCCACCCACGCCCCTCCCCCCCTCCCGAGAGCGGGCCACCATGTCAGAGACGCAGTCCCCTCCCTGCGCCCACGCTGACATCCACGCGGACATCGGACTCACGAAAGGAGAGCTGCGACGCCAGGCGCGCTTAGGGTGAGACGCAGGAAGTAATAGGGAGCCGAGAAGCTGGCCACGGGACCGGGAGCCCGTGGAGCCCACTCCACGTTCGCCGTGTGAACCCCCTGGCCTGGCACGGAGTCCCCAGGGACACGCCCGGGCAGAAAGGCCTTTGGCAGAAACCGATCAGACAAGCGACAGGCTGAGCCTTCACTTCCGATGAACCGATGGTCACCTCGTGGATGGGAGACCTTGCGGCACGAACTTCAGGAAACAGATGGGGACGCACCTGCGAGACGCCTGCGCCTACCTCACCGGCCCGGGGGCGCCTTGGCCTCGGGG